CGGAAAGGGGAATCAAGCAGCTCATCTCCCTTCCCTACGCCCATCAGCAGCAAGGAGTAGCAGAAAGAATGAACAGGACCCTGCAGAACACCATGCGCAAACTGTTACGTGGCATGCGGCTACCCAACCACCAATGGCCTGCATCAATGGACCATGCTGTCATGCTGCACAATTTGTTGTCGGCGTCATCACTTCCGAACAACACATCACCGCATCTGCTATGGACAGGGAAACAGGGCAGCACAAAAATGTTACGAGTTTTTGGGTGCATGGTACAGTACCGACCCCCAGCACCACGAGCGGGCCGATTTTCTCAACGAGCACAGTGGGGACTACACCTGGGCATCGAAAAGAACTACAACGCGTGGAAAATCTTCGACGTCCACTCCAAGGAAACAGTAGCAGCACGTGACGTAATTTTCTACGGACGGCTCACACTTCAGACGTACCTTGCCAACTTGCAAGAAAACAAAGATCCCACAGGTGGTCTCCGTGGTGACCGAGCCTTCGCCTCAGCAGCGGACGAAGCAGACTGGGACGAGCAGAATGTGGACAACGCAATAGAAGAAGCCGGACCTCTTCCGTTCTGCTCCGTCGACGTTCCCATGGACGAAGACAACCCTCACGAAAGTGCCAACGCTGAAACCTTCTACCACTTCGCCGACAACGTTTACGTAACACCTGCGACAGTCAACACCAACGAAGCAGAACGAGTAGGACCAAATTTCATACCTGATCCAGAAACGGGAGACGAAGCAGCTTATCCCGAGGATGTAAATCTTCCCCGCTACTCACAGAGTGGACTGCAGATCCTTGGGCTCGTCACCGCGGTCCACGGTTGCGTCGCTCCTAAAGAGCCTGCGACGGTTCAGCAGGCTCTGGGGGGGGGACATAAAGAAAAATGGCGCGAAGCCATGGACAAGGAGCTGAAGGCACTGGAGGAACGCAACACGTGGAAGGTGGCTCCTATCGGTGTGGCACGGAACAAGACAGTACTCACCGGGAAATGGGTCTTCCGTGTGAAGACAAAGGCCGATGGCACCATCGACAAATTCAAAGCACGCTGGGTCGTTCGTGGCTTCGACCAAGAGCACGGCCGCGACTTCACCGAAACATTCGCTCCAGTCAGCCGACACACCTCGCTACGCATCCTTCTCGCGATCGCCGCCATGAAGAAGAAGAACCTAAGGCAAATTGACGTCGCTAATGCATTCCTCTACGCACCCGTCGACGCCGAGATCTTCGTCGAGCTACCACATGGCTCCAGCACGGACTCGAAACACGTCTGTCAATTACTCAAGTCACTCTACGGCATCAAGCAAGCCCCGCGACTATGGCAACAATACCTACACGCTCGCCTCATTCGCATCGGCTTCAAGCAACTACCGCACGACCAGGGCATGTACCGGCTCTCGAAGGGTACCGACTACGTCCTGCTAATCGTCTATGTAGACGACCTACTCTACATTGGCTCAACCGAAGGCATTACAACCTGGTTCGAAGGGGAGCTACAGCAAGACCTCACACTCACGGTCTCACCTACCGTCACACAGTACCTCGGCCTCAACATCCGAGAAGAAGAAGACGCTATCTACCTCAGCGCCGCGAAATACGCCGACACCATCGCCAAGCGTTTCGCACTCACACCAACAGCTATCTCCACACCGTACCGCTACACGACAGTAAGCAACAAGAAGGCTCCGCTCTACTCAAGCCCGCCGGCATCCGCGACTACCAGAGAAAGCTGGGCTGTCTTCTCTTCGCAGCTGTCACCTGCCGCCCAGATCTATCCTACTCTGCAAGCCAGCTCGCCACCTACCTCAAGAGGCCTGAAACGGAACATCTGGCGCAGCTCGACCGCGCTCTTCACTACCTTGTCAGTACCCCGACGGTCGGACTAACTTATCATAAGAACGTGTCAAAACCTATATTTGTAACTGCCTGTAGCTGTAGTTAGTGTAGTTATTTAAATCTGTAGGTGGTGCACCTCTTCACTTGTTTCCTTTGCTATATGTACTTCAAAATCTATAGTGAATTCATTCTTCACAATTTTCTCTTCTCATCTCGAACTCGAACTTCTCCCTAGGCACAAAACCCGCTCGATACCTAAGTTGGGCCTAGGCTCCTAAGCCTAGGCCCTAGTTAAAACTTAGCTCACTCTCGCTTATTTCGACATGGTATTAGAGCCTGTTAAATCCAGGTCTGTGGGCCTGCCTCACGCTTCCGCTACTGTTTTTCTGGTCGCGCGCCTCGGACGCGTGGCGATTTTCGTCCCGTCCCACGCCCGGGTGGCGCGTGACGGTTTTTCTACCCGTCGCGGACCCGCCCCTGGCGCCCGCGGCGGTGCCCTTGGCCGTCGCGGACCCGCCTTTGGCGCCCGCGGCGGTGCACTTGGCGCCCGCGGACCCGCCTCTGGCGCCCGCGGCGGTGCCCTTTGCCGTCGCGGACCCGCCTTTGGCGCCCGCGGCGGTGCCCTTGGCGCCCGCGGACCCGGCTCTGGCGCCCGCGGCGATGCCCCTTGCCGTCGCGGACCCGCCTTTGGCGCCCGCGGACCCGCCTCTGGCGCCCGCGGCGGTGCCCTTGGCCGTCGCGGACCCGCCCTTGGCGCCCGCGGCGGTGCACTTGGCCGCCGCGCCCCTGGTGCCCGCGACGGTGCTCCTGCCTCACCCGTACCTGCGCTCGTGCACCCGCACCTGCCTTACCCACGCCTCCCCTCGTGCAGCCGTGGGGGGGAGGGTATGGGGGTGGCGGGTGTGGGGTGATGGGTGGTTCCTTCCCTTCCCCTCCTCCTCCTTTCGTTCCCATTGCTGCAGCTGCCGCTGGGGGGGAGGGTGTGGGGGAGCCGGGGTGGCGGGTGTGAGGCAACACGCAGCCGTCCCTCCATCTCTCCTCTCTTCCCCCCTTCTCTGCTGCTCCTGCAGCAGTGTGGGGGAGGGGAAGGAGGAGGGTGAGGAGATGGAGGGGGTGACCACCTAGTGTCAGCCCGCCTGCATTACCTGCTGTTGCTTGCTTTTTATTGTTTTGCATGTGTACACCTGTTGGTTGTATTCTGCACATACTCCTACTGCAGGCAGTTATGGGGGAGTGTGAAAACCTATATTTGTAACTGCCTGTAGCTGTAGTTAGTGTAGTTATTTAAATCTGTAGGTGGTGCACCTCTTCACTTGTTTCCTTTGCTATATGTACTTCAAAATCTATAGTGAATTCATTCTTCACAATTTTCTCTTCTCATCTCGAACTCGAACTTCTCCCTAGGCACAAAACCCGCTCGATACCTAAGTTGGGCCTAGGCTCCTAAGCCTAGGCCCTAGTTAAAACTTAGCTCACTCTCGCTTATTTCGACAGAACGCAACTACAACGCCTAAGCTAATCGGCTACGTTGACGCAGACCACGCAGGCGACCCCGACAACAGGCGATCACGCACCGGCTACATCTACCGTCTCGAGCCCATCGGGCCTATCTCCTGGCAATCGAGCAAGCAAGAACTAATTGCTCTCTCGTCAGCTGAAGCAGAATATATTGCACTCTGCTCAGCCACCAAGGAAGGACTCTACCTTCGCGAGCTGCTGGAAGAAGCGAAGTTAGCCGAGTTACACAACTTCACCCTGTTCTGCGACAACCAGTCGGCAATTCGCATCGCCAACAAGAACGGCTTCACGAACAGGACGAAACACATCGCCCTACGATATTTCTTCGTGAAGGACGAGATCGAAAAGGGAAGGCTTGAGCTGTCATACTGCCCCACATCCGAGATGGCAGCTGATTATCTGACCAAGAAGCTTGGAAAACAGAAGTTCGAATATTGCATGCTGCTGACTGGACAGAGCCACGTCAGCGACACTCCAGAAGCAAAGGGGAGTGTTGGAAACAATCGTTCCTAAGCGCCTCTGTCGTGTCAAAACACTAAGGCACAAGCGAAGCAGAGCATATCGAGGCACCAGCGAGTCAACCCTCGGAGGTTGAAGTAACCGCTGGAGGTTACGCGAAAGTCAAAGGTCAGCGAACTTTGACCTGACAAATACAGCGCGACAGCAAGGACACACAACTGACTCGTTACAGAGCAGTTGCCCGAGTCGTCACTGTATCGAACCGCAACAGCAACAGTAAAGTGGTTATAACTGTGTCTCTTCATATTCTCTGTATTCATATATAATCCTGTATCTCTTTGTTTTAATCAAATTCACTTTGCCCTCACATACTAGCGCAATGTGGTTCACAAACTCTTTATTAGACGTTTCCGCTATTACATCAACTCTACCCAGAATTCACCTCTGCAAAGATCCTAAGGGCTTTTTCAGCCCAACAAAAGGTCGCTGACCTTTGACTTTCGCGTAACCTCCAGCAATTACTTCAACCCCCGAGGGTTGACTCGCTGGTGCCTCGATATGCTTCGCTTCGCTTGTGCCTTGGTTTTTCGACACGACAGAGGCGCTTAAGCTCGATTGTTTCCAACACTATGAACATGTGCCACATGACTATTGAATGTTTTACAAAAAAATGAGGGGGTGGTCACAAATGGGTAAAATAATAGTATAGCACCCGGGTGAAAATACATAGACACATGTAAATGTATTTCAGTGACACCCGGGTGACTTATAGCAAGGTTTCCACTTTAGCAAGCAGAATGGATGTGAGTGAAAGCACCGCGTACAATTGTCACGAACAGTGCCACCACACTCGTGCCTTCGTGTACAACAGCCTATTTCCTTTCAGGCTTGGTGTTGGCTTGGCACACAGGAGTCTCCTGCCGCAGAAAAGGCAGCCCCCTTTTACGGCCCACTTGGAGATGGCCATTTACCTTTTCAAGACACTAGTAACACCATTGGGCCATGGGCAGTAGCAGTTGAACGAGCCGCTCGCAGCTTAAGCAGCTGGTACTGCAGCCACAGCCACAGCCACTCCTCCACCAGCAGCAGCAGCAGCAGCAGCAGCAGCAGCTCTCTTCCTCCCATGCCACACCACCGCATGCCGTCGTTCACCTCACCACCACACCACACCACTACTGACCTCTTCCCCCATCCGCCCCTCCCACCCTGCCAGTACGTGCCTTCTTCCTTCCTGCCCCCTTGCCCACGGGCGTCTCAGGCAGCAGGTGCAGCTTCTGCCTTCGCCTCCTCCTCGGCTTGTCCTCCTCCTCCTCATCCTCCGCCTCCTCCGCTCCCCCCTGCCCCCCCTCCTCCCCCGCTTCCCCCCCCTGCTCGCCATACCCCCTCCTAGCTGCCGCACCCACCCTTCTACGACCACTGGCAGCAGCAGCAGCAGGGAGGAGACGCATAAGATCAGTGTCGTGAGTGGCAGGGAGAGGGAGTGGGAAGGAGGAGAGGGCAGCACCGCCTCCTCCACTGGCGTCCTCGAAGCTTCCACTGCGAGCTGGTGATGCTGCTAGGGATGAGGACGCTGATGCTGATGGGGATGGGGATGGGGAAGGTGGTGGTGATGGTGACGAAGGTGGTAGTGACGATGCTTTCCTGACACGTCTAAAACGTGGTTCGGGAGATGGGGACAGGGAAGGAGACACACGCGATGGCGGCGATGGGGAGCGCGAGTGAGAGTGCGAGCGAGAGTGTGAGTGAGAGTGCGAGGTATCCTCTCCATGCAAGTGTTGATGCTCAACCAATACAGCTTCGTCCTCCCTCTCCTCCTCCACCCCCTCGAGTTCACATGGATCCTTCTGCTTTGCGTTCTTCTCCTCTTCCCTCCGCTTTCGAGGAGGAGTGAGCACGGCATCTCTTCGCACGCCTGGCAGCACCACCGGCTCCATGGCTGTGGCGGTGCGTCTGCGCTTGCGTGGTGCTACCACCACCACCCTCTCCTCCTCCTCCTCCTCCTCCTCCTCCTCCTCCTCCTCCTCCTCCTCCTCCTCCTCCTCCTCCTCCTCCTCCTCCTCCTCCTCCTCCTCCTCCTCCTCCTCCTCCTCCTCTCCCTCCTCTATTTCCTCCTCCTCCTCTTTCTCCTCTTCCTCTGCTTTCTCGTCCTCTGTCCACGCACCAAGCCCACGACCCATCGCCCTGTCTTGCCATCTCCCTGCATCCATATCTCTGCCCTTGCCTCCGTCCATACTTCTCTTACTCGCATTCCCCAAAGCACCTCCTCCTCCTCTGCCTCCTTCTCCTGCTGCTTCAGCAGAAAACGCATCCCCATCCTCGCTACAAGCAGCTCCACTGCTTGCCTTTGTTCCACTCGCTTCGTCTTGGCCTCTTCGAGCACCTCCCAGCCCCTCCAGTCCCTCCTCTCCCTCCGTCCCCTCTTCACCCTCCTCTGGGGGCTCCTCAGCCAGCTGAGCCAGGGAGAAGAGCATCAGAGCAGCCGTATCTTCCTTCCCGCTCACCCCTGCCCCTCCTGCCCCTCCTGCGCCTCCTGTCCCTTCCCCTGCTCCTCCTCCTCCTCCTCCTCCGCCTTTTCTGCTTCCTGCTGCTGCCAGCAACGGTGCAGCAGCAGCTGCAGCAGCGGCACTAAGGGGCGGTGTAGCTGAGGGATTGCCTGCCGTGCATGAGCAAGCACGTGGAGGGGAGGAGATAACAGGGGAAGGGGAGAAAAGGACACACGAGAGGAATACCATCATTAGTTGGCCTGCCACATACCACCTCTCTCGCATGCCACCTATTCAAAATCCAATCCCTCAAAAGCCACCAGGCACTAATTCCACCTCCCCTGAATCTCACCTTAAATTATCCTCACCCCTCAATACCCACCTCTCTTGCCAATCTTCTTGGAGCCTTTCGGCCGCCCACGGCCCTTCTTCACACCCCCAGACGCCTCCTCTCCCCCCCCACCCCTTGCACCCTCCCTTCCTTCCCCACCCCTTTCCTCTCCCAGCCCTCCCTCTGCACTCTCTTCCCCGTGGTCTATAGAAGGCACGAGGGGAGAGGCAAGGGGAGGTACGAGAGGTGAGGCGAGGGGGGGGGCGAGGGGAGACAGCCCTGCTGCTGCTCCGCCTGCCTTGGCGCGTTTCTTGCCTGTGTGATCCGCAGCAGCAGTGTGGGGGGCCCTGGCGCTGGCGCTGGCGTTACCACCGAGTCTGGGTGGTGTCGAAGTGGTATCGGCTGTAGCAGGAGTAGCTGGGCTCACAAGTGGCATGACTTTTACAGCAGGAGCAAGAGCAGAAGAAGGAATATGGGGAGGCAGACCAGAACTTGCAGGAGCATCAGCAGTAGGAGAAGCACCAGCAGCAGCACCTGTGGTTCTCTGGAGAACCCCAGAACCCCCAGCAGCCCCTGCCATTGGTGCTGCTGATGCTTTTGAAAATGGCACGCTGTGCTCCCTGCCCCGCTCCTTGAGCCCTTTCTTCCCCTCCCGCTTCTCCACTTTACCAGCATGCTTGCCTACCTTCACCCCACTCCCACCAACAGCAGCAGCAGCACCACCACTGCCACCCCCACCCCCAGCACTGCCACCAGCACCACCAGCACCCACACCTCCTCCATCTGCTGATCCTGCACTGGCTTGGTCCAGCAGAGCAGCCAAGTGCCCCAACATGCCTGCCCGCTCCTCCCTTGCAGCACAACCACCAGAACCACCACCAGCACTAACACAACTCGCAGAAGCGGCGGCAGTCGCTGCAGTTGCCGCTTCTCCCACCGCCACACTCGGTTTCGACACAACAAATCCCGGACCTTTCCCCTTCTTCTTCCCCACCTTCGCAGCGCTGCCAGATGCAGCATCAACCCCTGCGGCAACTACACCACCGCCCCCTGCAGCACTTCTCCCAACCCCTGCTGCTCCTAGTGCTGCTTCTCCAGCAACCCCCCCTGCTTTCCCTCCTGCACTCGCAGCACCCACCTTCCCTGCCCCTGCGCCCTCCCCCTTCCCCGCCCCGGCCAAACGCCCCTTGCCACCTGCTCGCTTGCTACCCGCTGCAGTGGCAGCAGCACGAGCGGGAGAAGCAGGGGTATCTGGAGCAGCAGAGGTGCTGTGCTTTCCTCCTCTGGGCACCCCCTTGGCAGTGAGCTCGTCTCGTGCACCGTGTGTGTGAGTGACAGTCGCACCACCGTGTGTGTGAGCGAGAGGCGGATCACTGAAAGAATCCCCTGGCAGGGCAGCAGTAGCAGCGGCAGCCATGGCAGCCAGAGCAGCCACTGCATCCTCCTCCTCCTCGCCCTCCACGGCTCCTGCTGCTGCTGCCCGTCCTCCTGCAGCCCCTACTGCTGCTGCCTCGCCCACTGCATGCGCCCCTCCTGTTACCCCTCCCACTGCTCCTACCGATACCGAGCCCAGAGCAGAGGGACCGAAAAGCCTGCCTCTGCTGCCCACCAGCAGCTCACCATGAGCCCACCTCCTCCCCTCATCGCCCCCCACGAGCCCCTTTCCCTCCCCAGCGCCCACCAGAGAGATCTTCATTCTCGGCCCCTCATCCGCTGCTGCCTCTCTGCTGCTTGCTGGGGCTGCAGCTGCTGCAGAGACGGCCCGGAGGAGGGGAGAGGAGGGGGGGAGGAGGGCAGGCGGGCGGAGGAGTGGGGAGGAGGAGGAGAGGGAGGAGGTCCGCCTGGGCTTGAACTCTGGCGGTGGTAGTAACAGGGACATGGAGGGAGCAGCATCACCAGCGGCAGCAGCAGCAGCCGTGGGATGAATAAAGGGAGGGGCAGTAAGGGGGGGTTGCAGCAAACGGGCTGACGCAGGTGCTGCCGCTGCTCCCCCTGCTGTTGCAGCAGAAGTAGCAGCGGCGGCGGCGGCGACACCAGCGGTGAGAGCGGAAGGCAGAGAACCGGGAGGAACAAGAGCGGATGAGGTAGCAAGAGGAGGAGAGGGAGACGATGCTCCCTTCCCTCGCATCACCACACCTGACCCCTCTCCCGTGCCCCGCTCAAACTGAGACGACTTTTGAGGCGCCTCAAAAGCCTTCCCTCGCATCACCACACCTGACCCCTCTCCCGTGCCCCGCCCACCACCACCCTCCTTTCCACTCCGCTTCCCTCCTTCCCCTCTCCCTCCTCCTTTCGACCCTCCTCTCCCTTGCCCTCCCTCCCCTCTCCCTTGCTCACTTCTCCCTTTCTGGAAAGGACTGGGTTGCATAAGACTGGGTGGAATGGCAGAGGAAGGGGCAGGGGAGTGGGAGGTGTGCGGATGGGTACGAGGGGGAGCGGATGGGTGCAGAGGAGCCGTGTGAGTGTGGCCATGTGGAGAGGCATGTGTGTGTGTGGGGGGCGTGTGGAGTGCGGCTGACGGGTCATAGATGGGTGCTGCTGCATGGGTGGCGAAAGCAGGCGGCACAGAGAGGAGACCATTTGTCATAATCCCGTCAGCTGCACGCTCGCCTTGACCTCCCATCTCCACACTGCCTTCCAACGCAACCCCCTTTTCTCTGTGGCCCCCATCGCCCTCCCCCTCCACCTCTCCTCCCTCCGCCTCTCTTCCCTCCACCTCATCCTCAGTCCCCTCACCTTCATCACCCTCTCGCTCTCCCTCAACTTCCTCCGTGCCCACATCCCTCTCCTCTTCTTCCTCCTCTCCCTCTCCCTCCCCCTCCTCCTCCTCCACCTCCTCCCCCTCCTCCCCTTCCCCCTCCCCCTCTTCCCCATCCTCCACCTCTCGCTCCTCACTCTCCTCTGTCCACTCATCCACCTCACGCCCACCACAACCCCCTCCATCACCTTCTGTTTTCAAACGTTTAAACATCCGCTCTTTGTTAAGCAATCCACTTAGCTCACCGCCAATGCCATGCATGCTCCCACTGCTGCCCTTCCCATCCTTATCAATGCCTACCAGTCTGCCTTCCAATTCTCCTCTCTGCACAATCTCGCTGTCTAGGCTGCCACTAATCTTTTCCGCTGCCCGGGATCGGTCACGTGCCCGAACAGGTTTACCAGGAGCACCAGCCTTCGGCAGCCAGGGAAACGGGGGCAGAAAAAACTCTTCATAACTCCCCAGCAAAGCATCATCACCGTTGCTGGTCTCACCACCGCCTGCCTTCTCTTTCTCGTTCTGCCCATCTGACTGCACCCCTATCTGCTTACTCTTGTCTGCAACGCCCGTAACCCCCCTCTCATGCTCTCTGCTTTGCCCATGCATGTCCTTTGACCGTGTTCCTTCTGATTCTGGGAGCAGCGAGGAGAGGAGCGAGTCGAGAGACAGGCAGGGTGGGAAGGCGAGGAGGGAGGGGAATGCGGCAACTGGATGGAGGGGGAACCTGCTAGTGGGTCATATAGTGTGGGCGGGGAGACAGGGGAAGGGGAAGGAAGGGGAGGTTGAATTGAGTAACAAGTCCTTTATGACATGCACATGTTCAGAACAGAAAGCACAAGTGGGTTGAGAGCAAGAGCGGCACGCGTGGGGTTGATGATGGAGGCAGTGAGGCAAGGATTGGTTATAATGCGGCGTCCCATTGGCGAGTAGGGCATGAGGTGGCAATGTGAGAGGCGTTCCCTGGCGATTTTTGAGTTGACTCAAAAGTCACCTCGTTCCCTGGCGATGTGGATGCTTGCTTACCCCAATGGTGCACTGAACGGTACTTGGTCTTTATGACTAGGCCGCTCTACTATTGCCTTCTGCTTGCTGCTTGGCTGGGTTCTGCTGGGCTCTCCAGCGTGAGTGAGACTGCTGGGTGAACTGGCATGGCCAGTGTGTGTGGGTGTGTGTGTGCTGGTGTGTGTGTTGGGTGTGTGCGTGTGAGCTTGTGAGGGGCCGTGAGTGTGCGCAGAGTGAGAGAGGTTCACGTAGGGTGCACCTAAAGAGGGGACATGCAGCAACTGAGGCATGGTGGGTGCAGGGGGGTGGGCGGGGTTGGAGATGGGTGCAGAGGGATGAGGAAGCGAAGGAAGGGAGTTGAGAGGAGGCGTGAGGGGAGGAGGCATGGAGGAAGGAGGCTGAGAGGGTGGGTGGAAGTGCAGAGCGGGAGGGGCCTTGTGTGGGTAGAGGCGGGGCAGAAGGAGAGAGTCGACCTGATGGGCACACAGGGACACACAGGGGGATGGGAGGATGAGGAGAGGGGAGTGAGTAGACAGAGGATGAGTGAACCAGGATGAGTGAACCAGGATGAGTGAACCAGGATGAGTGAACCAGGATGAGTGAACCAGGATGAGTGAACCAGGATGAGTGAACCAGGATGAGTGAACCAGGATGAGTGAACCAGGATGAGTGAACCAGGATGAGTGAACCAGGATGAGTGAACCAGGATGAGTGAACCAGGATGAGTGAACCAGGATGAGTGAACCAGGATGAGTGAACCAGGATGAGTGAACCAGGATGAGTGAACCAGGATGAGTGAACCAGGATGAGTGAACCAGGATGAGTGAACCAGGATGAGTGAACCAGGATGAGTGAACCAGGATGAGTGAACCAGGATGAGTGAACCAGGATGAGTGAACCAGGATGAGTGAACCAGGATGAGTGAACCAGGATGAGTGAACCAGGATGAGTGAACCAGGATGAGTGACCCAGGATGAGTGAACCAGGATGAGTGAACCAGGATGAGTGAACCAGGATGAGTGAACCAGGATGAGTGAACCAGGATGAGTGAACCAGGATGAGTGAACCAGGATGAGTGAACCAGGATGAGTGAACCAGGATGAGTGAACCAGGATGAGTTGAACCAGGATGAGTGAACCAGGATGAGTGAACCAGGATGAGTGAACCAGGATGAGTGAACCAGGATGAGTGAACCAGGATGAGTGAACCAGGATGAGTGAACCAGGATGAGTGAACCAGGATGAGTGAACCAGGATGAGTGCGCCAGAGCGAGTGAACCAGGATGAGTGAACCAGGATGAGTGAACCAGGATGAGTGAACCAGGATGAGTGAACCAGATGAGTGAACCAGGATGAGTGAACCAGGATGAGGACCAGATGAGTGAACCAGGATGAGTGAACCAGGATGAGTGAACCAGGATGAGTGAACCAGGATGAGTGAAACCAGGATGAGTGAACAGGATGAGTGAACCAGGAGGCGGGATACAGGATAAGTGAACCAGGATGAGTGAACCAGGATGAGTGAACCAGGATGAGTGAACCAGGATGAGTGAACCAGGATGAAGTGAACCAGGATGAGTGAACCAGGATGAGTGAACCAGGATGAGTGAACCAGGATAGTGAACCAGGATGAGTGAACCAGGATGAGTGAACCAGGATGAGTGAACCAGGATGAGTGAACCAGGATGAGTGAACCAGGATGAGTGAACCAGGATGAGTGAACCAGGATGAGTGAACCAGGATGAGTGAACCAGGATGAGTGAACCAGGATGAGTGAACCAGGATGAGTGAACCAGGATGAGTGAACCAGGATGAGTGAACCAGGATGAGTGAACCAGGATGAGTGAACCAGGATGAGTGAACCAGGATGAGTGAACCAGGATGAGTGAACCAGGATGAGTGAACCAGGATGAGTGAACCAGGATGAGTGAACCAGGATGAGTGAACCAGGATGAGTGAACCAGGATGAGTGAACCAGGATGAGTGAACCAGGATGAGTGAACCAGGATGAGTGAACCAGGATGAGTGAACCAGGATGAGTGAACCAGGATGAGTGAACCAGGATGAGTGAACCAGGATGAGTGAACCAGGATGAGTGAACCAGGATGAGTGAACCAGGATGAGTGAACCAGGATGAGTGAACCAGGATGAGTGAACCAGGATGAGTGAACCAGGATGAGTGAACCAGGATGAGTGAACCAGGATGAGTGAACCAGGATGAGTGAACCAGGATGAGTGAACCAGGATGAGTGAACCAGGATGAGTGAACCAGGATGAGTGAACCAGGATGAGTGAACCAGGATGAGTGAACCAGGATGAGTGAACCAGGATGAGTGAACCAGGATGAGTGAACCAGGATGAGTGAACCAGGATGAGTGAACCAGGATGAGTGAACCAGGATGAGTGAACCAGGATGAGTGAACCAGGATGAGTGAACCAGGATGAGTGAACCAGGATGAGTGAACCAGGATGAGTGAACCAGGATGAGTGAACCAGGATGAGTGAACCAGGATGAGTGAACCAGGATGAGTGAACCAGGATGAGTGAACCAGGATGAGTGAACCAGGATGAGTGAACCAGGATGAGTGAACCAGGATGAGTGAACCAGGATGAGTGAACCAGGATGAGTGAACCAGGATGAGTGAACCAGGATGAGTGAACCAGGATGAGTGAACCAGGATGAGTGAACCAGGATGAGTGAACCAGGATGAGTGAACCAGGATGAGTGAACCAGGATGACGTGAACCAGGATGAGTGAACCAGGATGAGTGAACCAGGATGAGTGAACCAGGATGAGTGAACCAGGATGAGTGAACCAGGATGAGTGAACCAGGATGAGTGAACCAGGATGAGTGAACCAGGATGAGTGAACCAGGATGAGTGAACCAGGATGAGTGAACCAGGATGAGTGAACCAGGATGAGTGAACCAGGATGAGTGAACCAGGATGAGTGAACCAGGATGAGTGAACCAGGATGAGTGAACCAGGATGAGTGAACCAGGATGAGTGAACCAGGATGAGTGAACCAGGATGAGTGAACCAGGATGAGTGAACCAGGATGAGTGAACCAGGATGAGTGAACCAGGATGAGTGAACCAGGATGAGTGAACCAGGATGAGTGAACCAGGATGAGTGAACCAGGATGAGTGAACCAGGATGAGTGAACCAGGATGAGTGAACCAGGATGAGTGAACCAGGATGAGTGAACCAGGATGAGTGAACCAGGATGAGTGAACCAGGATGAGTGAACCAGGATGAGTGAACCAGGATGAGTGAACCAGGATGAGTGAACCAGGATGAGTGAACCAGGATGAGTGAACCAGGATGAGTGAACCAGGATGAGTGAACCAGGATGAGTGAACCAGGATGACGTGAACCAGGATGAGTGAACCAGGATGAGTGAACCAGGATGAGTGAACCAGGATGAGTGAACCAGGATGACGTTGAACCAGGATGAGTGAACCAGGATGAGTGAACCAGGATGAGTGAACCAGGATGAGTGAACCAGGATGAGTGAACCAGGAGTGAACAGATGAGTGAACCAGGATGAGTGAAACAGAATGAGGGTCACAGGATGAGTGAACCAGGATGAGTGAACCAGGATGAGTGAACCAGGATGAGTGAACCAGGATGAGTGAACCAGGATGAGTGAACCAGGATGAGTGAACCAGGATGAGTGAACCAGGATGAGTGAACCAGGATGAGTGAACCAGGATGAGTGAACCAGGATGAGTGAACCAGGATGAGTGAACCAGGATGAGTGAACCAGGATGAGTGAACCAGGATGAGTGAACCAGGATGAGTGAACCAGGATGAGTGAACCAGGATGAGTGAACCAGGATGAGTGAACCAGGATGAGTGAACCAGGATGAGTGAACCAGGATGAGTGAACCAGGATGAGTGAACCAGGATGAGTGAACCAGGATGAGTGAACCAGGATGAGTGAACCAGGATGAGTGAACCAGGATGAGTGAACCAGGATGAGTGAACCAGGATGAGTGAACCAGGATGAGTGAACCAGGATGAGTGAACCAGGATGAGTGAACCAGGATGAGTGAACCAGGATGAGTGAACCAGGATGAGTGAACCAGGATGAGTGAACCAGGATGAGTGAACCAGGATGAGTGAACCAGGATGAGTGAACCAGGATGAGTGAACCAGGATGAGTGAACCAGGATGAGTGAACCAGGATGAGTGAACCAGGATGAGTGAACCAGGATGAGTGAACCAGGATGAGTGAACCAGGATGAGTGAACCAGGATGAGTGAACCAGGATGAGTGAACCAGGATGAGTGAACCAGGATGAGTGAACCAGGATGAGTGAACCAGGATGAGTGAACCAGGATGAGTGAACCAGGATGAGTGAACCAGGATGAGTGAACCAGGATGAGTGAACCAGGATGAGTGAACCAGGATGAGTGAACCAGGATGAGTGAACCAGGATGAGTGAACCAGGATGAGTGAACCAGGATGAGTGAACCAGGATGAGTGAACCAGGATGAGTGAACCAGGATGAGTGAACCAGGATGAGTGAACCAGGATGAGTGAACCAGGATGAGTGAACCAGGATGAGTGAACCAGGATGAGTGAACCAGGATGAGTGAACCAGGATGAGTGAACCAGGATGAGTGAACCAGGATGAGTGAACCAGGATGAGTGAACCAGGATGAGTGAACCAGGATGAGTGAACCAGGATGAGTGAACCAGGATGAGTGAACCAGGATGAGTGAACCAGGATGAGTGAACCAGGATGAGTGAACCAGGATGAGTGAACCAGGATGAGTGAACCAGGATGAGTGAACCAGGATGAGTGAACCAGGATGAGTGAACCAGGATGAGTGAACCAGGATGAGTGAACCAGGATGAGTGAACCAGGATGAGTGAACCAGGATGAGTGAACCAGGATGAGTGAACCAGGATGAGTGAACCAGGATGAGTGAACCAGGATGAAGTGAACCAGGATGAGTGAACCAGGATGAGTGAACCAGGATGAGTGAACCAGGATGAGTGAACCAGGATGAGTGAACCAGGATGAGTGAACCAGGATGAGTGAACCAGGATGAGTGAACCAGGATGAGTGAACCAGGATGAGTGAACCAGGATGAGTGAACCAGGATGAGTGAACCAGGATGAGTGAAACCAGGATGAGTGAACCAGGATGAGTGAACCAGGATGAGTGAACCAGGATGAGTGAACCAGGATGAGTGAACCAGGATGAGTGAACCAGGATGAGTGAACCAGGATGAGTGAACCAGGATGAGTGAACCAGGATGAGTGAACCAGGATGAGTGAACCAGGATGAGTGAACCAGGATGAGTGAACCAGGATGAGTGAACCAGGATGAGTGAACCAGGATGAGTGAACCAGGATGAGTGAACCAGGATGAGTGAACCAGGATGAGTGAACCAGGATGAGTGAACCAGGATGAGTGAACCAGGATGAGTGAACCAGGATGAGTGAACCAGGATGAGTGAACCAGGATGAGTGAACCAGGATGAGTGAACCAGGATGAGTGAACCAGGATGAGTGAACCAGGATGAGTGAACCAGGATGAGTGAACCAGGATGAGTGAACCAGGATGAGTGAACCAGGATGAGTGAACCAGGATGAGTGAACCAGGATGAGTGAACCAGGATGAGTGAACCAGGATGAGTGAACCAGGATGAGTGAACCAGGATGAGTGAACCAGGATGAGTGAACCAGGATGAGTGAACCAGGATGAGTGAACCAGGATGAGTGAACCAGGATGAGTGAACCAGGATGAGTGAACCAGGATGAGTGAACCAGGATGAGTGAACCAGGATGAGTGAACCAGGATGAGTGAACCAGGATGAGTGAACCAGGATGAGTGAACCAGGATGAGTGAACCAGGATGAGTGAACCAGGATGAGTGAACCAGGATGAGTGAACCAGGATGAGTGAACCAGGATGAGTGAACCAGGATGAGTGAACCAGGATGAGTGAACCAGGATGAGTGAACCAGGATGAGTGAACCAGGATGAGTGAACCAGGATGAGTGAACCAGGATGAGTGAACCAGGATGAGTGAACCAGGATGAGTGAACCAGGATGAGTGAACCAGGATGAGTGAACCAGGATGAGTGAACCAGGATGAGTGAACCAGGATGAGTGAACCAGGATGAGTGAACCAGGATGAGTGAACCAGGATGAGTGAACCAGGATGAGTGAACCAGGATGAGTGAACCAGGATGAGTGAACCAGGATGAGTGAACCAGGATGAGTGAACCAGGATGAGTGAACCAGGATGAGTGAACCAGGATGAGTGAACCAGGATGAGTGAACCAGGATGAGTGAACCAGGATGAGTGAACCAGGATGAGTGAACCAGGATGAGTGAACCAGGATGAGTGAACCAGGATGAGTGAACCAGGATGAGTGAACCAGGATGAGTGAACCAGGATGAGTGAACCAGGATGAGTGAACCAGGATGAGTGAACCAGGATGAGTGAACCAGGATGAGTGAACCAGGATGAGTGAACCAGGATGAGTGAACCAGGATGAGTGAACCAGGATGAGTGAACCAGGATGAGTGAACCAGGATGAGTGAACCAGGATGAGTGAACCAGGATGAGTGAACCAGGATGAGTGAACCAGGATGAGTGAACCAGGATGAGTGAACCAGGATGAGTGAACCAGGATGAGTGAACCAGGATGAGTGAACCAGGATGAGTGAACCAGGATGAGTGAACCAGGATGAGTGAACCAGGAAAGAATGTGGCCAATCAAGGCAATGAGCAGACGCACAAATGGGCTGCAGAAGCAGGAGTCATAACTTATAAGCAGAAGAATAAATTACCAGCAGACAGCAGCAGCTGCCGCACTGCACTCACCTCATCATCAATCTTCTCCCAAAAGTCCTTCCCTGCCCCTCTCCTCCCCTGCAGCCTCCGCACCACTTTCCGCCCCTCCGCCACTCTCCTTTCTTCCTCCGCCCTTTTCTCCTCCTCTTCTCTCTCCGTCTCCTCTGCTCTCTTGCCCACCTCTCTCGTCTCCCCCTCTCTCTTCTCCCCATCCACCCCGGTCTCATTCTCCACCCGCTCACTTCTCTCACCATCCTCTCTGTCCTTCCCTTCCACGCCTCCACCCGAGCGTGTATCCAAGCCTGCAACCGAGCCTAAGTCCGAACCTGATATCGGCACGGCATTCAGGTCTGTGTGCGCGGGGGCAGAGGCTTGGTGAGGAGGGCAGGCAGTGGGGGCTGGAGCGACGCTACCAGGGAGGGAAGGGGCAGAGAGATGCTGATGTGCTGCTGGCACCATGTGGGTCGGCGTGTGAGGAGCAGTGGGGAGGACAGCGGGAGGGCGGAAGGAGGGTGGGAGGGAGAGGAGAGTGGGCGGGGCTGAGAGGTGAGCAGAGCACAGCTGAGACCCCAGAGCCACACCTGCTGCTGCTGGAGCGAGTGGTGCTGCTGCTGCTAGTGGTGCTCCTGCCAGTGGTGCTGTTGCTGCTAGTGGTGCTCCTGCCTCTGGCGCTGCTGCTGCAGTTACTGCTGTCGGGGTCGACTGGTGACTGGGAGCAAGAGGAAGAGGAGGAGGCGAAAGGGCAGGGGAGGAGGGCGGGGGAAAGGACGAGCGAGGCGTGGGGAACGGGGAGGGAGGGTGGGGCTGGGCCAAGAGGAAAGCAAGGGCGTGCTGTTGTTGGGCTGGAGATAGGCGCATGGCTGGTGATAGGTGTACAGCAGGTGACAGCAGTGCTGCAGTTGCACGCCCACTCACACCGCCCTCTCTTTCTCTTCCCGCTCCACCACCTGCTGCTTGCCCCACACTTGCTGCTCCTCTACCTCCTCTTCTTCCGCCTCCTACTGTTGCCCCGGTCCTGCTCTTTCCAGCCAGCATTCTGCGCAGATATGCCGTGGTGAGGCAAACCCTCTTCGGGGGAGGAGGTGCATTGTCAGATGCCCCCCTGCCTGGTGCAGTGGCAGTTGCATCGACCTCCTGAGCCACAGCACCGGCAGCATCAGGCGTAGTAACAGCATCAATAGCTGTTGCAGCACCAGCAGCATCAGGCGTAGTAACAGCATCAATAGCTGTTGCAGCACCAACAGCATCACTCGTAGTAACAGCATCAATAGCTGTTGCACCACCAGGTATGGAAACAGAATCAATAGCAGCAGCAGCATGAATGGCAGCACCAGTATCAGTCACAGCAGCGGCAGTGTCAGCATCAGGACTCGTGGCAGCAGCATCGGGACTCGTAGCAGCAGCATCGGGACTCGTGGCGGCAGCATCGGGACTCGTAGCGGCAGCATCGGGACTCATGGCAGCAGCATTGGAACTCGCGGCAGCAGCATCGGGCCTCGTAGCGGCAGCATCGTGACTCATGGCAGCAGCATCGGGACTCGTAGCGGCAGCATCGGGACTCATGGCAGCAGCATCGGGACTCGCGGCCGCAGCATCGGGACTCGTGGCAGCAGCATCGGTTGCATCACGAACAGCAGCAGCTCCAGGAGCAGAAGCATCAGCAGCACCAGGAGCAGAAGCATCAGGAGCACCAGGAACAGAAGCATTAGCAGCATTAGAAGCAGAATCACCAGTAGCACCACGAGCAGAAGCACCAGCAGCACCAGTGGCAGAAGCACCAGTACTAGTAGCATCAGCAGCACCAGGAGAAGCAGCATCAGCAGCAGCCACATCAGCTGGAGCACCAGTAACAGTGGCACCACTACCATTCACAGCAGCCGCAACAGCAGGGATTGCAGCAACACTTGCATCAGCGACTGCAGCAGTCTCAACAGCAGTTGCAGCAGCCTCAACAGTAGCTGCAGCAGCCTCAGACTTGGTGTGGCAGGTCAGAGCCACTTGTCTCTCCACAGCAAGCGGAGCTTCTTTCAAGGTGGAGGGAGGGGCTCGTGAAACACACTCTGCATCCGCCTTGGCAGTCTCTGTGTCAGCTTCGGCAGTCTGTGTGTCAGTTTCAGCAGTTTCTGTGTCATCTCTGGCAGTCTTGGCAGCAGCAGGAGCAGCAGGCAGGTTGGGGGAGAGAGGAGCAGCGGTGGCAGTAGGAACGTTGGGGGAGTGAGCAGGAGCAGTGGCAGCAGCAGCAGCAGCAGCAGCAGGAGCAGGAGCAGGAGCAACAGCAGCAGCAGGAGCAGCAGGCAAGTTGGGGGAATGAGGAGCAGCGGTGGCAGTAGGAACGTTGCAGGAGTGAGAGGGAGCAGTGGCAGCAGCAGTGGCTGGAGCAGTGGCAGCAGCAGTGGCAGTAGCAGTGGTAGGAGCAATGGCGGGAGTAATGGCAGGAGCAGTGGCAGGAGCAGTGGCAGAAGCAGAGGCAGCAGCAATGGCGGGAGAAGTGGCAGGAACAGTGGCAGGAGCAGTGGTAGGAGCAGTGGCAGGAGCAGTTGCAGCAGCAGTGGCGGGGCCAGTGGCAGCAGTACTGGCAGCAACAGTGGCAGCAGCAGTGGCAGAAGCAGTGGCAGAAGCAGTGGCAGAAGCAGTGGCAGAAGCAGTGGCAGAAGCAGTGGCAGGTGGAGAGTGGGCAATGGCAGCGACAACAGCAGCCCAGTCGTGGGTGGCTGCACTGTCAACAAGCCCCAACTGCTTCTCCTCTGCCACCCCCGTCACATCCACCGCCCTCACCTCATCCACCGCCCTCACCTCATCCACCTGCCTCACCTCATTCACTTGCACAGCACTGCACGCATGAACCTCGCTCTCCTCCACCACTGGGTTCGATCCTCTCTTCTCCTCCTCCTCTCTACCCACCTCTTCTGCTCTCCTCTTCACTTGCTGAATAACATCCTCCTTCATCCCGTTGTTTTCTCCTTCATCTCCCTCTTCACACTCCTCTGCCCACTCTCTCTTTCTCTTCTGCCTCTCCTCCCTTCCAACCCCGCAACTTTGCAGATCGTTATTTCTCCCCTTTGCTCCGTCCTTTGCTTCCTTCTCATCCTCACGCTCCTTCCTTCCCTCCTCTTTCTCCTCCTTTTCCTCCTCCCCTCTCTCCTTTCCCTCCTCTCCTCTCTCTTTCCCTTCCTCTCCTCTCTCTTTCTCCTCTTCTTTCTCCTTCCCCTCCTCCCCTTTCTCCGTCCCATCCTCCTCTGTCTCCTTCCCCTCTTCCTCTCTATCCTTCTCCTCCTCCCTTCTCACCTTCTCCTCTTCGTTCGCCTTCCCATCCTCCCCTCTCTCCTTTCCCTCTTCCTCTCTCTCCTTCCCCTCCTCCCTTCTCGCCTTCTCTTCCTCTTCATTCACCTTCCCCTCCTCCCCTCTCACCTCTCCCCTTTTTTCTTTCTCCTTCCCCTTCACCCCTCTCTCCTTCCCGTCCTCCCCACTCACCTTCCCCTCCTCCTCTTTCTCCTCCTCCCCTTTCTCCTCCTCCCCTTTCTCCACCTGCCCTTTCTCCTCCACTCCTGTGCTCTCCTCCACTTTCCCCTCCACCTCTCTCTCCTTCCCCCGTGCCCCAGCTTCCACTGCCACCTCTCCAGAACCCACTCGCTCTCCACCTCTCCGCTCCACACTCTCCTTCGCTGCCCTCCCGTCTGCCACCCATCCACCCATCAAGCTGCTCGTCTCTCCCCCCTTCCCTGCACCTTCCTTCTCTGCACCCTCCTTCCCTGCACCCTCCTTCTCTGCACTGCTCACTGCCTTCCCGACAAACTTGTCCATTCCCCCTTCTGTGCCAGCCAGCCCCGCCCGTGTCCCCACCCCACCTTCCCCTTCCTTCCCCTGCTCCTGCTCCCCACCCACCTCTGTGTCCAATCCCGCTCCACCCTTCACACCCCCACCCCTCGCCACTCCCAACCCAGCCAGCTCTTCTCTCTGTCCCGTGTGCTCTGTCTCCTCCCTCTGCTCTCTGTCTGCCACCACGATGCATTGACTCGTCTGATCCGCCCCATTCCCCACTTCTCCACCAACCGCACTGCCAGCATCACCACTCTTGGCCTGCTTAGCACTGTCCCCCGCCTCCACCCCTGCTGCCTCCACACCTGCTGCCTCCACACCTGCTGCCTCCACACCTGCTGCCTCCACACCTGCTGCCCCCACCCCTGCCACCCCCACCCCTGCCGCCCCCACCCCTGCCACCCCCACCCCTGCCGCCCCCACCCCTGCCACCCCCACCCCTGCCGCCTCCACCCCTGCCGCCTCCACCCCTGCCATTCCAAGCATCGCGTCAAGCACCTCGACCTTCCCTCCCACAGCTGTCTCCTCTACGCTCCCCTCTGCTTCCGCTTCCATCTTCCCCATCCCATCCACACCTCCCGCCGTCTCCCCTGCTTCCCCTGTCTCCTCACCCACTAGCACTGCCATGCCTCCTTCTCCTTCCCTCCCCTTCGCCTCCTCCCCTTGTGTCCCTTCCCTGAACGCAGTTTCCATTTCAACTGTCCTTTTTATGGCTTCCCCCTTCGCCTTCGCCCTTTCCTCCTTCTTTGCTCCTTCGTCCTCCCCCTTCGCTCTTTCATCCTCCCCCTTTACCCTTTTCTTCTCCTTTGTTCCTTCCTCCGCCGCCTTTGCCCTTTCCTCCTCCCCCTTTGCTCCTTCCTCCTTCCCCTTCGCTCTTTCGTGTTCCCCCTTTGCCTTTTCCTCCACCCCCCTTGCTTCTTCCTCCTCTCGCTTTCTCCCTTCCTCCTCTTCCGTTACCCATTCCTTCTCGCCCTTTGCCCCTTCCTTCCCCCTTTTTGCCCCTTCCTCCTCCTCATTCGCCAATCCATCCATCCCCTTCGCCTTTTCGTCCTTTCCCATTGCAATTTCCTTTTCCCCCTTTCCTTCCTCCTCTCGCATTGCCCCTTCCTTCTTCCCCTTAACCCCTTTTCTCTCCTCCTTTGCCCCTTCCCCCATCCCCATCACCCCATCCCCCTCGTCTCCCCTGGCTGCAGCAGCCCTCACCACCACCGCACCTCTCACACCACCTTCGCCCTCCACCCTCTTCTCCCCCTCTTCCGCCACCACCCCCTCCTCCACCTTCCCCATCCCCGCCTCCACATCACCAACACCACAATTCTCCATGCTGCTGCCTTCCGCCTTCTCTCCACTCTTACTCACCGCTTCCTCCTTCTCTCCACTCCTACTCACCGCTTCCGCCTTCTCTCCACTCCTTCTCACCGCTTCCCCCTTCTCTCCACTCCTACCCACCGCTTCCGCCGTCTCTCCACCCCTACTCACCGCTTCCGCCTTCTCTGCACTCCTACTCACCGCTTCCCCCTTCTCTCCACTCCTGCTCACCGCTACCGCCTTCTCTGCACTCCTACCCACCGCTTCCTCCTTCTCTTCACTCCTACTCACCGCTTCCACCTTCTCTCCACCCCTACTCACCGCTTCCGCCTTCTCTCCACTCCTGCTCACCGCTTCCGCCTTCTCTCCACTCCTGTTCACCGCTTCCGCCTTCTCTTCAGTGGTATCTTTGCCCGCCTCAGCACTCCTCGCACCCTGCTTCACGCCACCCACTTCCCCCACTTCCTTCCCACCCACCTCCCCTTCTTCGTTTCCACCCAGATTTCCCCCTTCCGTCCCACCCACCTTCCCCCTTTCCGCCTTGTCCTCCTTCCGCACACTCTCATTTTGCCAGCCCTTCTCCTTCTCTGCCTCTTCCTCCCCATTCGCCTTCTGCTCCCCACTCACCTTCTCCTCCCCACTCACCTTCTCCTCCCCACTCACCTTCTCCCCATTCAACTGCTCCTCGCCCACATTTGCACCTTTCTCGCCCTCCTTTACACTTTCCTTCCCCTCCTTTGCACTTTCCTTCCCCTCCCTATCACTTTCCTTCCCCTCTTTTACACTTTCCTTCCCCTCCTTTACCATTTCCTTCCCCTCCTTTACACTTCCCTTCCCCTCCTTTGCACTTTCCTTCCCCTCCTTAGCACTTTCCTTCCCCTCCCTATCACTTTCCTTCCCCTCCTTTACACTTTCCTTCCCCTCCTTTGCACTTTCCTTCCCCTCCCTATCACTTTCCTTCCCCTCTTTTACACTTTCCTTCCCCTCCTTTACCATTTCCTTCCCCTCCTTTACACTTCCCTTCCCCTCCTTAGCACTTTCCTTCCCCTCCTTTGCACTTTCCTTCCCCTCCCTATCACTTTCCTTCCCCTCCTTTACACTTTCCTTCCCCTCCTTTGCACTTTCCTTCCCCTCCTTTACACTATCCTTCCCCTCCCTTTCACTTTCCTTCCCCTCCTTTACACTTTCCTTCCCCTCCTTTGCACTTTCCTTCCCCTCCTTTACACTATCCTTCCCCTCCCTTTCACTTTCCTTCCCCTCCTTTACACTATCCTTCCCCTCCTTTGCACTTTCCTTCCTGTTCTTTGCACTTTCCTTCCCCTCCTTTACACTATCCTTCCCCTCCTTTTCACTTTCCTTCCTCTCCTTTACACTTTCCTTTCCCCCCTCTGCACTTCCCTTCCCTCCCTTAGCACCTTCATTCCCCTCCTTTGCTCCTTCCTCACTGTCCTTTCCTGGCCCATCCCCCTGTGCTTCGACCTGCCCTGCGGTAGCCATCGCGTCGGCATCATGTCCCCCCTCGCCTGCACCAACCACATCCGCTTCCTTCGCCTCATCCCCTCCCTTCGCCTCATCCCCTCCCTTCGCCTCATCCCCTCCCTTCGCCTCAGTGCTCATCCTCCCAGCCTTCCCCTTTTCCTCTCCTCGCACGTCTCCCTCCATTTTCTCCTCCCTTCCCTCCTCCTGTTTCTCCTCTCTTTTCTCCTCCCTTCCCTCCTCCTGTTTCTCCTCTCTTTTCTCCTCCCTTCCCTCCTCCTGTTTCTCCTCTCTTTTCTCCTCCCTTTTCTCCACCCCTCCCTCCAATTTCTCCCCCTTTTTCTCCTCCCGTTCCTCCCCTTTCTCCTCCCGTTCCTCCCCTTTCTCCTCCCGTTCCTCCCCTTTCTCCTCCCGTTCCTCCCCTTTCTCCTCCCGTTCCTCCCCTTTCTCCCCCTTTATCTCCTCCATTGCCCCCTCCCTTTTCTCCTCCCTTACCTCCCTTTTCTCCTCCTTCCCTTCCTCCCTTTCCTCCATTCCCTCCTCCTTTCTCTCCCTTCCCTCCTCCCTTCCCCCCTCCCTTCCCGCATCCACCATCTCATCCCCCTCTCTTGTGTCTGCCATCACCCTCCCTCCCTTCTCATTCTCCCCCAATCCCTCCTTCCCCTTCCGCCCCAATCCCTCCTTCCCCTTCCGCCCCAATCCCCCCTTCCCCTTCTCCCCCGATTCCTCCCTCCCCGAACCCCCTTCCCTGTCAAATTCCCCTCTCTCCTCGCTGCACGTGCGTTTGACCTTCATTGCAAGCCCACATCTTTCACCCCCCTCCTCCTCCTCTCGTCCCTCGCTCCCTTCGCTACGCTCCTCCAACCCCCCCAACCCCGCTTCCCCCACCGCTGCTCCCCTCGATGCCGCTTTCCCCAATGCCATCCTCATCCCCGCCAGTGTGCCATCCACTCCCCGAATGCCCCCTTGCTGCTCTCGGTCCTCCCCCACCTTACCGCCCTCCCCCACCTTACCGCCCTCCCCCACCTTGCCGCCCTCCCCCACCTTGCCGCCCTCCCCCACCTTGCCGCCCTCCCCCACCTTGCCGCCCTCCCCCACCTTGCCGCCCTCCCCCACCTTGCCGCCCTCCCCCACCTTACCGCCCTCCCCCACCTTGCCGCCCTCCCTCACCTTACCGCCCTCCCCCACCTTGCCGCCCTCCCCCACCTTGCCGCCCTCCCCCACCTTGCCGCCCTCCCCCACCTTACCGCCCTCCCCCACCTTGCCGCCCTCCCCCACCTTGCCGCCCTCCCCCACCTTGCCGCCCTCCCCCACCTTGCCGCCCTCCCCCACCTTGCCGCCCTCCCCCACCTTGCCGCCCTCCCCCACCTTGCCGCCCTCCCCCACCTTACCGCCCTCCCCCACCTTGCCGCCCTCCCCCACCTTGCCGCCCTCCCCCACCTTGCCGCCCTCCCCCACCTTGCCGCCCTCCCCCACCTTACCGCCCTCCCCCACCTTGCCGCCCTCCCTCACCTTGCCGGCCCCCCCCTCCTTGCCGCCTTCCCCCTTCTTGAAGCCCTCCCCCCCCTTGCCGCCCTCCTCTCTCCCACCCTCCTCTCTCCCAACCTCCTCTCCTCCACCCTCCTCTCCCCCAATCTTCCCTCCACCTCCCTTCCATCCCTCCTCACACGTTGCCCCTCCCGCACGCTGCTCCCCAGTCCTCGTTTCCCCATTCTCACCCTTCACCGCCCCCCCACTCTCACTAGCCCTCTTCTCCTCACCTCTGTCTGACGCCTTTCTCTCATCTCCATTCACCCCCTCGCCCTGCCTCGCACTGCCTGCTACGTCCTCGTGCCTCTTCACATCACTCTGCTTTTCAAACCTTCCTTCCCTCTCAGGGAGCTCCCCGCCCCGCCTCTCCTCCTTCCTCTCATCCGTCGTCTCATCCCTCCTCTCCTGCTGCTGCTCTCTGGTCCTCTCTGCATCCTTCGTTTCGCCTGCTGCTGCAACCTTCGTTTCGCCTGCTGCTGCAACCTTCGTTTCGCCTGCTGCTGCAACCTTCGTTTCGCCTGCTGCTGCAACCTTCGTTTCGCCTGCTGCTGCAACCTTCGTTTCGCCTGCTGCTGCAACCTTCGTTTCGCCTGCTGCTGCAACCTTCGTTTCGCCTGCTGCTGCATCCTTCGTTTCGCCTGCTGCTGCAACCTTCGTTTCGCCTGCTGCTGCATCCTTCGTTTCGCCTGCTGCTGCAACCTTCGTTTCGCCTGCTGCTGCATCCTTCGTTTCGCCTGCTGCTGCAACCTTCGTTTTGCCTGCTGCTGCATCCTTCGTTTCGCCTGCTGCTGGAACCTTCGTTTCGCCTGCTGCTGCATCCTTCGTTTCTCCTGCTGCTGCGACCTTCCCCTCGTCCGCTGCGACCTTACTTTCGTCGCCTGTCACCTTCTCATTCTCGTCAGCGAAACAAGTCGCCTTCGCCTCGTCGCCTGGAGCCCTGACGGCGCTACTAGCAGCGCACGCTGCCCTGGCGACGCTACTAGCTTCGCCAGCAGTCCCGGCGACGCTACTTGCTTCACCAGTAGCCCTGGCGACGCTACTAGCTTCGCCAGCAGTCTCCGCGACGCTACTTGCTTCACCAGTAGCCCTGGCGACGCTACTAGCTTCGCCAGCAGTCTCCGCGACGCTACTTGCTTCACCAGTAGCCCTATCTGAGGCTCCCCCTGCTGCCACGACCCTCCCTGTCTCACAAACAGCTGCTTCGCCTGCAACCTTCAGTGAGGCAGCCATGGCTTTATCGTCCGCTTTAACGGCTTTATCGTCCGCTTTAATGGCTTCATCGCCCACGATGGCTTTATTGTTGATGGCTTTATCGGCAGGTTTAATTGCTGTATCGTCCGTCTTAGTCGCTGTATTGTCCCCTTTAATGCACGTTCTGTCCGCTTTAAGGGTCGTATCCTCCACTTCGATTGCCTTATCTGTCGCTTTAACGACTGTATCGTCTGCTTTCACTGCTGCGTCATCACCTCTAACTGCTGCGTCATCAGCGTTAACTGCTGCGTCATCAGCGTTAACTGCTGCGCCATCAGCGTTAACTGTTGCGTCATCAGCTGTAACTGCTACAATACCCTCTCCTGCGTTCTCACCCCCACGCTCCCCCGCCAATTCCATGCGACCGTCTTCCTTCGCCTCGCCTGCGCCCTCGGACGCTTGTCGCTCATCTGCCTGCCGGGCCTCTGCCGCTCCTCTGCTAACCATCGTGTGCTCCATCCCTCCGCTCCACCGTGCCCCGCCCGACACGCTTCAGAGCGCGCTGTAATGCATCAGCGGATTGTCGCGACGAATTGGAATTGAGAAATCGACTCTACCCTGGACCGAATCTCACGGGTTTCCGATTCCCCAGTACTCGTCGTCACAGGCAGAGGAAGGCTTTTGGATGAAACGAGAGAGGGGCTTGAAAGCGCGAATTGAACGGCAGGGCTTGGGGTGAGGAAAGCACTGCACGGGACTGGTATGGGATGGGAGAGGGCTTGTCCAAGGGTCGTGAATACGGTTCAGTTTGTTCTCTCGACGTAATACATCGGTTAAGTAGGGTAGTGAAAACTTTCCGAAACGCTTCAGCAAGGCTATGCATGCAGCCCACGCAGTAGCAAGTACCATTCCCTGACCATTCAAGGGAGGGTGGGGGGAGAAGTGAGGCTGCGTTGCGTCAGTCCAGCCATCGTGGTGTGGAGTCACGACGCCAAGCGAAGCGTGAGGTAACCACGTAGATTGTCGCTATCAGAATGGAGGGTGGATTTGTACGCAAGGTCGATATTGCATTATGTTACCAGACTCTATCAGTCCTAAACTGGTAATGTCAGAATCTCTTTTAGAAACCAGTTACTGCACAAAAGCTTCACAAAAAAATGGATTCAACTCGTTTGAGTGTATTCCACCATGCCATCACACGACAACTGCAACATAATGGGCTCCTTGTCCGCACCTCTAGTTGCAGTGGCAGCACTGCTGCTGCCACCTCTGCCATCACTCTCCCTGCTATCAAAAGCTTCCCCCTCCTCCGTACCACCACCAACACTCGTTCCAAGAAGAACTCTCTTCACCTGCCTGTTCAAACCAACACCACTTGACCTACCACCATTTGCTTTGGGGCCCCCCTCTCCCTGACTTTTCTCAAACACAAGCCTAGCACCTCTCATCCCCCCCACCTTGCCTCTCCCGCCTCCCCTGCTCCCCATGCTGCTTCCCCCGCCTGCCCCCAACCCCTCTGCCCCCACGAGCCTGTCGGAGTCACCCGAACGAATTTTTCCATCTTCGGATGAATTCCCCCCTTTTTCTGCTCGGCCCTGCCCTGCGCCCCACACGTCCACATCGCGCCACGCCCCCCACGCTCGCTCCTCCTCACTCCCCTCCTCACTCTGCCTCCTCTCAATCAGCACCACCCCTTCAGCTGCCAGCCTGGCATGACCTGGCGCTGAGTCAGTCCACGTCAGCGCGCCCTCCATCTGCACAGTGCCCCGCACAGCATCTCTGGGAGCTGACAGCCTGGCAGGCCCATCTGCCGTGGCAGCAGCTGAAACAACAGTGGCAGATATGGTAGTATCTACAGGTATGGTATCAATAGGTATGGTATCTACAGTAGTGTAGTCACCCACACCTAAAACATTCCCCATCCAGACGTTTCTCTGGTCCTTGATTCCGGGCAGAAAAAGCCGTCCCGTGATGGGAATGGTAACAAGCACTGATGAGCCCTCCTCTGCCAGTGCCCCCACCTGCCCTGCACCTTTCCACCCACCAGCAGCACCATCCAGCGTCTCCTTCCGACCCACGTGTGCATCATCGCCCTTGTGCCCCCGCTGCTGTCCCCCCTGGTGGCCCCCATGGGGCTCTTCCTGCTGCCCCCTCTTGTGCCCCACCGTGCGAGGAGCCACCATGGTCCACACCGCTGCCCCCTGCTCCGTCAGCGGGCTCTCAAACACAACCTCGCCTCGAATCACCCCCTCCAATGTCTCACCCTCTGCTGCCACACCTGCTGGTTCATCTGGAGTATCAGCATCATCGTAGTCATCACCATGACCAGCATCACCGCCTTTCAACCCACCAGCCGCGCCCTTCCCTTGCGCCTCCACCTCGCCCGCTTGTGCCCTCCTCTCATCACCCCCTGCTGCCTCACCCCCGCTTTTCACCCAACACGCAAACGAGCCCGGCGACAGCACCACGGCTGCTCGCGTTGCTGCGCCCCCCTTGCCAATGCCCGCTGCTGCTGCCCTGTGCTCTTCTGTTCCCCTCTTGAGACGTCTCAAAAGGTGCTCTTCTGTTCCCCTCGCCCCGTTTCCCGCCCTCCTGCTGCTGCCACCATCCCCATCGCCCCTGCTGCCTACAGTACCTCCTCCCCTGCCACTCACTGCCACACTCCCAGCAGCACCTGCCGGCACCACCTCCCTCCCGTGGACACTCACCAGCATGCTCCGCGACACAGACAGCCCCATGGGTGCTGCTGGTGGGTTCAATGCGGTACGGATGGGTTTCTGGACTTCATTAGCAAATGGGTCCTCCACAGCCCATCCCTCCTGCACCCAGTTCTGTGTCGACTCAACACTAGCCTCCTCCATTCTATTCATCATATTCCCCTCCTCCACCCCAACCCTCTTCTCCCCCAAAGCCCCACCCTCCTCCTCCCCTGCCCCCTCGCTCCCTTCGCCCCCGTCTCCTCCTTCCACCTCTCGCCAGAACAGCGGAGGTTTATGCACGTGCACGGACTTATTACTTTTACCGAAGAAGCTTATAAGGAGGTCTTCCAGAGGCCCCTCCAGGAAGCGCTGCTCCACGTGGGCCAGCAGCGGCAGCAGGTGGCTCGCCTCGCCCCGCAGCAGCAGCGCCTGCACGCCCCTCACACCGCGCAGCACTGATGCCCACCCGCCCTCGTGAGACGCCCCTCCTGCTTCTTCTCTCTCCCCCGCCTCTATGCCCCGTGCGTCCATTGTGGCCCCTGCTTGGGCTGTGCCCTCCTCCATTGTGGCCCCTGCTTGGGCTGTGCCCTCCTCCTCTGTGCCCCCGGCGTCTATTGTGCCCCCGGCGTCTATTGTGCCCCCGGCGTCTATTGTGCCCCCGGCGTCTATTGTGCCCCCTGTTTCGACTGCGTGCCCTGCTTGTGCGTCTGGCGCTGTGGGTGGTGGTGGTGCCGGTCGTTGGCCTGCGAGGGACACCACGCCCCAGTCCCTTTCTCGCAGCTCCCGCACCACAAACCGTTCCATCGCCACGTCATACCGCTCTCTCACCCGCACTCCCCCTTCCCCCCCTGCTCCTCCTCCTCCCCCTCTCGCCCCTCCTCTTCTGGCTGCCGTCCCTGAGTTCCGAGTGCGCTGGTGGGGTGCGTGCAGGAAGAGCACGTGGCGGGGGGAGGAGGCAGCGCACTGCCGCACAGCATGCACGAACTGCACTGTCCGTTGCACCTCCCCCTGCCACCATTGCCGCATGCACGCCGCTCTCACTCTCTCCACACACCTCTGCTCCTTCAATCCTTGCACTTGTTGCTCCTTCACCCCCTGCTGCTCCTCCAACCCTTGCCGCCGTTGCTGCTGCTGCTGCAACTCCCCCTGTTTCCTCGCCCCATCTTGCTGCCCCGAGGCAGAGGCGGCACCGAGAGCCGTCCAGAGGTGTGCAGTGCGGTGGGGAGGGAAAAACCGCGGCGAGTAGGCACCAAGCAGCCGCTGCCTGGCTGCTGCTGGCAGGGCGTGAGCGAGCGAGCAGAGGGCAGGTGGCGCCTGCACCAGATCCACCTCAAAATCAGCTGATAGTTCCCTCAGAACCGGCCTGTACCCATCCTCCTCATCACCCTCACCATTTCCACCCTCACCACCACCATCTCCTCCATCCTCCTCTTCCTCTCTCTCTCCCCCTCCCTCATCCGTCTTTGCAGCTTCATTCCTCCCAATATCCCACCCCTCTTCCGCCGCCCCATCCTCCTCGCCTGCTCTCTCCTCCCCGCTCCTCTGCTGTCTCCACTTGTCCCTCTTTTCCGAGCCTGGCATCCAGGCTCGGCAGCCGGGGCTGTAAGCCACGGCGCGCATGGACCGTTCCAGCAGCAGCCCCTTGGCTCGGTGGCGATCCAGGGAGAGCAGCAGGTCCAGGGCAGGTGAAAGGAGTGCGGATGGGTTTGAAGTGGTGGTGGGGTCTGTGGGAGAAGACTCGCTGTGCTGCTCGCTTCTGCTGCTGCTGCCAGCTGCAGTGGCCTCAGTGGCATGGGCGGGGAACAGATGGCGCAGGGCGGAGAGGGAGAAGGGGTGCGCGGGCTGGGGAGAGGGCGGGGGAAGGGGAGCGCGGGAGGGAGGGGAGCAGGAGCAGTGGGTGGGAGCGATGGCAATGCACAGGCCCCATGCCTGGTTGCCGCCTCCCAAGCTGCTGCTGCTGCTGCTGCTGCTGTCGGTGCTCTCGGCCTGTATGCTGCGGTCGCCCTCTCTGCTTCTGCTCGAGTCACCAGCGAAGGCCATGGGGTGGAAGAAGGAGCTTTCCACGAACGCGCTCAGGGGAGACAGGGACGCCGCAGTGAGGTTTGAACCTGAAAATGAACCTGAACCTGAACCTGAACCTGAACCTGAACCTGAACCAGCAGCAGCAGTAGCAGCAGACACGCTTGACTTCTCCTCCTCTTCTTCCTCCTCGCCCGCTGCTCTCTCGTAGTGTGACCTCGTCTCCCCTGCTGCTGTACCTGCCGCGCCACTCGCGCGGGGCGCGCCGCCTCGAGTTACGCCGTCGTCCGCCGCGACGGAGTCGATCAGCGCGCTGCAGTCAATTCCGTCCGTTCCTTCGCGCAAACGGAACTCGTCAAACAGTTGACGGAATTCGTCTTGGCAGTCTTCGAGTCCGTCGAGAAACGACGAATGTGCATCGCCATGAGTCGTACCGCTGGCTGCGGAGGGTGCGACGGAGGCCAGGCGAAGGGTGGAGCGGAGGACGATGAGAAGGAGGAGGAGGAGGGCAAGGAGAGAGAGGAGGCAGCAGAGCGCGCCGATGCTGGTGCATACGCCGGTTCCATGGCGCAAGGGGCGGGCGCGCGAGTGGAAGGGGAGTCGGCGGAGGGAGAAGCGCGGGAGAGCGGCGGACGTGTGGGGATGGGAATGCGCACGCGAAGAGGAGGCTCGGCGCACGATCCCGGCGCTGTCCATCGCGAGAGCGCAAACCCAGTGCTCCGCGCGACTGTGTTTTATAGCAGGGGGAGGCGTCGCGCGTGCGACAACCCCTTGCGACGGCGACCTGTTGTGCGACGCTCGTGTGCGAGCAAGTTGCCATTACGACGTCGCGAGAACGGCTTTCGACGCAACGGATGGAGGAGGGAAATCACGTTGAAAGACGAGCGAATCGACGTGGGCGTGACGATCATGCCGCGTTCTACGGTGGCCGGGACCGCTTGCGCCCCGACCCTTCCAGCAGCGGCTCGGCATTGCTGGGTGACGCGTGAACAGCCAATCGCTTTTGCTAATGCGCTCTTCTGAGCACATCTTGAACTTGGTAACAAGTCCTCGGTAACATAAGTCCCGCTTCACAGACAAGGAGAGGAACACTCGCAAGCAGCAGTTATATAGTTTTCCTTCACAGAACTAACAGGTTTGCTAAAACAAGCTTCCCTTTGTTTTCTTCCTTGCAAAACCATTGAAGTGAACGACACACTATTTCTATTACCTTATTTATGCTAAGTAAATTCCTTGTACAAACCAGTGTACAATCGCTACACCAGGCACTAAAACTCCACTATGATGAAATCAACCTAAATCAAATCCTTTAACATCCCTCAGTTCATCCCCAATTGCATCCCGCAACAGCAGCTCACCCAGCGCCCCCAGCGCCCCCAGCACCAACCCTGTAGTACCCAGGTGCACGCTCACCTTCAGCGCAGGCTTTCTGTGCTTGTACGCTGGCGCTGGAGGTGCTTGTAACGAGGGGTAACCTGGCCCAGATGGATTGCTTGATTGGGGGTAAGGTCCTGGATTGGGCAGCGGATCCTGTGGAGGTGGCACAGCGTGACTATAAGGGGGTGGGGCAGAGTAACCAATAACAGGCGGTGGTGGCGGAGGTGTTGGAGATGGTGGAGATGGGTGTGCAGCGGTCTGATGGCTGTGAGATGAAGGCTTTCGTGCATCCTCTAGCTGACCTGGCACCCTGATTGGTGCCGCTGCTGAGCCAACTGGCACTGCATCTGCTGGAACTGCTGCATTCTCTTTCCTTGCACAGTCCACGTAAGCACCGTCCACGTCAGCACCGTCCTCAGTCCCTGTGTAGGTGTAGAACGATGGGATGGGTGCAAGCGGTGGCTGCCAGCATGCTGCTCCCCTCTCCGCCCTTCCCCCCTCCCCCCTCCCCGCCTCCGCGGTTCCCCCAATCCGCACCCGCACCGTCACCCATCCGCACTGCGTCACGCGCTCGTCTCCCCCCCCGCGCATCACAGGCAGCTCCGCGCATTGCTGTCAGAATCCCAACCACTAGACCATTGGGATAAAAGGGCTTGTTAAGTAGCGGGTCAGTGCGCCCATAACCCCCCAGGCCAACGTGCCTGTAACCCTTCCCTAGGATCAATCGGGGATCTCCAGTGGACCTCTGACACCCCCCCGCACTGAGATGCCCGAGGTGCACACACTGGGATTCGAACCCGAGACCTTCGCTCTGATACCATGTCAGAATCCCAACCACTAGACCATTGGGATAAAAGGGCTTGTTAAGTAGCGGGTCAGTGCGCCCATAACCCCCCAGGCCAACGTGCCTGTAACCCTTCCCTAGGATCAATCGGGGATCTCCAGTGGACCTCTGACAATTGCCACTCCCCCGGTCGGCGGAGCGCCGCGTCCAGCGCCACCGTGGCCGCGCCGAGCGACTTTCGCAGCGAGGCGGAGCTGAAGAGCTCCACGCGCACTTGCGCGCGCGCGTGGGGGGGAAGCGCCGCGGGGGGGGAGGATGCAGCTGCGGAGGAGGCGGAGGAGAGTAACGTTGCAGCAGTGGATGATATGTAATCGGCGGAAGCGGAGGACAAGGGAGAAGCGGGAAAGGGGGACTCGGAAGGGAGGGAAGAGGCGGGCTGCTGCGAAGACGAATCTAAGTGGGGAAGCAGGTCATCCGCTGCGAATTCCGCCGTGAATTGCGGCCCGCCGCCCCAGGTAGGGTTTCGCCCGCCGTTGACGGCAGGCGGCAAGGCTTTCCAGCAGGAGGGGCGGGCGGGGAGGGAGACGAGCGCGCAGGGGCTCATGCGCGCGAAGGGGGGCTTCCGCTCGTTGCGGAGGCTGTGCGCAGATACTACCTCCACGCACACTCGCGCATTGTGGCCGGCTGGCTCTGGCGGGATGAGCTCGCTCATATTTCTAAGTTCGTGAAAGAGAGGGCGAGGGGACTTTTCTAATACACACTTGGATTTGTCTTACAGTGCAGGGGAAAAACCGATTCGTTTGACTATAGTGTGAAGGGTAAGAATAGTAGGCATTGAAAGGAATAGTTTTAGAGCCTCTTGAGATAGCTTTCTAGAAAGAGAACAGAGGGCGTGAGGGTTGGGGGGGCCGAAGGTTGTGCTGTGAGGTGGTGGGCAGGGCTGCTGGTCGCTGGGTTTCCCAGGGGTCCTTGGGGGTCGCTGGGGGTCTTGGGGGTCCTAGGGGGCGAGGGTGATGAGGAAGCACCTGTCACGCGGAAAGCAACACCCTTCAACACCTCATTAGTAACTTCCCCCTTATGCAGAATACACTAGAATAGCTTACTTTTTGATACGATAATTCACAGCACTAACAAGTTTCTTCCACGAAATGTCCCACCATTTTTTTGCTCACAACCATCACAGTGAAAAGCGTAGTTTGTACTTCTTACCAGCCATATGTACAAAAGCACAGTACACTCGCTACACCGGAGACACTAAAGCTACACATTTATCAGATCAAAAGCCGAAGTCACCAAACCCTCCAAAATCGAATCCTCCAGCATCTCCCAACCCATCCCCAATCGAATCCCCAATGGCATCCCCCACCAACAGCCCACCCAGGGCTCCCAGCGCCAACCCAGCACCCAGCCCCGCCCTGCCAGGCGCCCTCCTCTTCTGCCCGTGCTTGCTGTGCTTGTACACCGTCACTGGAGGTGCTTGTGACGAGGGGTACCATGGTGCAGGGGGATTGGTCGGTCCTGCATAGGCTGTGTACGTGTGAGTGCTGCTGGTTGGTTGAGCGTATGGTCCCGAAGGATAGTTGGGAGGGTAGTAAGGTGGCACAGTGTGACTATAAGGGGGTGCGGCAGGGTAACCAGTAACAGGCGGTGGTGGTGGAGGTGTTAAAGGCGATGGAGATGGGGTGATTGCTGAGCCAGCTGTCACTACACCTGCTGCAGCTGCTACCCCCTCTCTTCTCACACCGTCCACGTCAGCACCGTCCACGTCAGCATCGCACTCCCTACCTGTTTGGGTGTAGAACGATGGGATGGGTGCAAGCGGGGGCTGCCAGCATGCTGCTCCCCCCTCCGCCATCCCCCTCTCCCCCATCCCCGCCTCCGCAACTCCCCAAACCCTCACCCGCACCGTCACCCATCCGCTCTGCTTCGCGCGCTCGTCTCCCCCCTTGCACCTCGAGCGCATCACTGGCAGCTGCGCTAACTGCCACTCCCCCGGTCGGCGGAAGGCCGCGTCCAGCGCCACGGTGGCCGCGCCGAGCGACTTGCGCAGGGTAGCGGAGCTGAAGAGCTCCACGAGCACTTGCGCGCGCGCGTGGGGGGGAAGTGCCGCGGGGGGAAAGGATGCAGCTGCGGAGGAGGCGGGGGAGGGAAACGTCGAGGCGGTAGATTTATGATCGGCGGAAGCGGAGGAAATGGGAGAGGCGGGAAAGGAAGATTCGGAAGGGAAGGCGGAGGCGGATGGCTGCTGCGGAGACGATTCTGAGCGGGGCAGAAGGTCATCCACCTCGAATTCCGCCGTAAATTGCGGCCCGCCGCCCCAGGTGGGATTTCGCCCGCCGTTGACGGCTGGCGGCAAGGCTTTCCAGCAGGAGGGGCGGCCGGGGAGGGAGACGAGCGCGCAGGGGCTCATGCGCGTGAAGGGGAGCTTCCGCTTGTTGCGGAGGCCGCGCGCCGACAGTACCTCCACAGAGACTCGCGCGCTGTGGCCGGCTGGCTCTGGTGGGACGAGCTCGCTCATTTTTCCAAGTTCGTGAAAGGGATAACGAGATGACTTCCCTTGTACACAGTTGAATTCTGAGTTCTCAACTAGCAGTGACGAAGTAAAGAGAGAAGAAAACAAAAAAGATTGCTATGACTGTAGCGTGTAGGTTAACGTGAGTAGGCGTAGAAGAACGAACGGATGCTTAGGAGCTTTTAGAGGTAGCGCAACCAAGAACAGAACGCGTAAAGCGGGACGGGGAAGGAGTTTAGAAGGCGTTGAGGTGGCGTGTGGGAAGAGAGGAATGCGAGGGTGAAGGAGGAATGTGTGGGAAGGAGGAAGGTCGAAGCTGCTGCCACGCAAAATCCAGCTGCGCGGCAGGCCCGAAACTACGCAATAGTAGCTTCCCCTTTATTAGCCGCTCTACCATAATGGTGCAAAGCACGTACACAAAAAGTACAAAAAAGTCATTCTCATGGAAGTCTGTCTAGTTTTGAAAGCGGTCGGATAAAAAACGATTATTTGGAAATTTTGGTGGCATTTTAATTAAAAAAAAAATCGAAATCGTTTGTAAATGATTTAAAAGTTGACTGACTCTTTGTTACGCATCATATATTCTTGCTATAAGTGGTTATACATGACGTACAATACACTTGGATTCAGAATAATGCCCCTTATATCAAAGAGTATCCCTATCTTTGGCGGAGATCGAAGACCACCTAGTCATTACGCTCCGCTTCTCAAGCTTCGCGACGCGCCTAGCCGTCATGGCATCCGCTGCTTTGCTCCAGTCATGCTCGTCCCTTCGCACTCCTTTTCTCCTAAAAAACAGTCAGAAATCTCTCAGCGCCGACATAAGACCAAGGTTGATACCTCGAGAAACCGTCAGGAGCAACCATCCAGGGGAGTTGCTTGTTGAGGGCCTAGCTCGTGCAGAGAGGGATTTACCGTGCAGATTAGTTCGCGGATCGCGCTCGTCCGTACGGTGCGCGGCTGCCGGCGAGGGCGAGAAGCCGAGCTCGTTCGCGAAGCAGTGGAGCCGCACGGGCGGCAGCAGCAGCAGCGAGAGCGCGATTTCCGGCGCTGCGCGACGGATTGCGGAGAAGGGCGGGCGGGGTGAGAGCAGGCCTTCGGGGGGGAAGAATAAGCGGGGCGGCGGTAAGCCTGCGCGCGGGAGGGCAAGCGGGGACGCGCAGCAGGCGGGGGAGAACGGGGATGGCGCAGGAGCGGAGGGGGAAGCGCGCGAGGGCGGCGGGAGCGGAAGGCGCGAGCGGCAGAAGCGCAGCCACGTCGTGCTGGAGCCCGCGGAATTCCCGGAGCCAATGAGTCGCGACCCGCACGTGGCGATTCTGGGCGGCGGCATGGCGGGGCTGATGTGCGCGCTGGGGCTGGCGGAGCGCGGCATCCGCAGCACCGTTTTTGATACTGTACGGGAGGGTTTTGCAGGGGGTTCAGTAGCGGTTCAGGAGGGGGTTTGTAGGGATTCAGGAGGGCTTAGCAGGGGCTGATGTGCGCGCTGGGGCCGGCGGAACGCGGTATCCGCAGCAACGTGCTCGACGCTGTAAGGGGGGGCCTTGCAGGGGGTTACTTGGAGCTTGGTGGAGGTTACTCGGGTTTTAGCAGGGGCTTATAAGGGGTTTAACCGAGCATTGTGATGTGTGTGGGAAGGGAGGCTCGGGACCGGCTGCAGGGGTCCACTCAAGTTCCAAAGGAATCGTGCTGAGGGAACAAGGGTGTGCGCATCCCGCCGCCATGCCCCCTGCCTCATCTGCTCTTCCCTTCTCTTCTCTCCTCTCCTCTACCCACCTCTGTACACCTCTCTCTTTCCACATCGACCCCATTCCACCCTCTCCTTTTTCACCCTCTCTCTCCTCTTCCTCTCGCGCATTTTCCCTCTCCTCGCCCTGTCTGCTCCCCTTGCGGCAGGGCAAGCACGGGCTGGGCGGGCGGATGGCCACTCGGGAGGTGGAAGTTGCTGGGAAGCTGCGCCTATTTGACCACGCTGCACAGTTCTTCACCGTCACAGATTCACGCTTCCAATCATACGTCGACAGGTGCGCAGATTCTGACCGTTCTGACATCCAGTCATTTGCTGACAGGTCAGCAGCCTTCAAAATCGGCAGATATGGTTTCGAGGTGGACGGATGGGCTGCTAGCAGTCTCGGGCTGGCAGTCTCGGGCTGGCAGTCTCGGGCTGAAGTGTTGTTCTCTGCTGCTGTGCACGTGCTGCGATGGCCCTGTTGTTGCTTTCCTGCATGTGATAGCTTCACCGCATCAATCACTCAACCTCACTCCACCTCACTCCACCCTACTCCACCTCACTCCACCGCTCTCCACCCCACTCCACCACGCACCACCAGGTGGCTGAAGGAAGGTGCCCTGCGGGTGTGGGAAGAGGGGCGCATAGGCACGCTGCAGGCAGGGGGGGCATTCTCGGAGCTCCCAACCCTTGGTGGTGGTGGCAGCAGTGGTGGTGGTGAAGAGGCGAGGAGGCTCATCAGCCCCTGTGGCATGAGGGCATTCTGCGAGCACGTGATTGCGGACAAGGTGCGTGCAACACAGCGCAGCACAGCACAGCACAGCACAGCTGCCGAGTGGTGGTGGTGGCAGCAGTGGTGGTGAAGAGGCGAGGAGGAGGCTTATGAGCCCCCGTGGCATGCGAGCGGTCTGCGAGCACGTGATTGCGGACAAGGTGCATGCAAGGCAACCACCACCAGCCATGTCATTTTCATTACTTCCAGTCTTTGATTGCGGATGAAGGTGCGTGTGTGTGTGCAGCTGGCTGCATGATTTCCAGTTTCATCTTGCAGCTTTCAATATTGGCCTTTGGTTGCGGATAAGGGTTGTGTGACCGACGGCATGGTTTCAACTTTCAACCCTCAAGAGCAGAGACGGACAGGGAAATGAGTTCCCCCTCACGTCACCCTCACGTCACCCCCTCCCATCATCCTCTGACCACAGGTGAGGGAGGGCGTGGGGGGTGGGTGGAGCGCTTTTTGAGTCGACTCAAAGGCGTGGTTGGGGTGGAGCGGCCAGTGTGGGTAGGGAACAAGGGGGAGGCCTATCAAATTACCCTCCTTGCACTGTCAATCCAATCTCCTCCCCTCCCTCCCTACCCCCTGACACCCCTCTTTTCACAGGTGAGGGAGGGCGTGGTGGGGGCGGAGCAGCCAGTGTGTGGATAGGGAAGATGCGGGCGAGGCATAGCGGATCACCATCCTCACATCACATCGTATCCATCCCCTCTCCCCCCGTCATCTTCCCAACCCCCTCCCCACGCATGACGCACTTTACCACAGGTGAGGGAGGGCGTGGTGGGGGTGGAGCGGTCGGTGTGGGTAGGGAAGATGAGGGCTCATTTGACCACCGTCCTCGCTCTATGTTTATTATCCCCCCCAACCAACCACCCTCCCTTGCCCATGACCCCCTCCGCGCCCGCCATTCCCTGCCCACAGGTGAGGGAGGGCGTGGTGGGGGTGGAGCGGCCAGTGTGGATAGGGAAGATGAGGGCGAGGGGGGGCAAGTGGGTGCTGGAGGAGACGGGGCGCAAGGCAGGGGAGTTTGACTTCGTGGTCATTGCACACAACGGTGGGTGAAATGGTGGGTGGGTGGATGGGTGGGTGGGCGGATGAATGGGTGAATGGGTGGATGGATGTGTCTGTTTGTTCTTGCAGTTACTTGTGATGTTACGGCAATGGGGGTGCGTTTGATACGAGCCTGTGATGGTGTGTCAATACTTGCGTGCTTGTCATTCACACAGAACAGAAGAGGAGCGTGCGTCTTGCAGTGCTTGCTGCTATGCCATGACATTCAATGCCATGCCACGCCATGCCATGCCATGCCATGCCATGCGATGCCATGCCATGCCATGCTCTCTTATGACTTCTCTCTCTGTCCACTGCTCCTCATCGCTCTTCCGCTCTTTTGAGGCCCTCAGAATTCCTCGTTGCTTTTCCCCTCATCGCATCGCATCGCATCCTTCCAGGAAAGTGCGCGAACCGTCTTCTCGCTCCCGCAGGCATCCCAAAGATTGCGAGACAGATGAAGGTAGGTGCAATTGCAGGGGAGTGGGAGCGCGGCGTCGTGGTGTGAAGGGCAGTGGTGAAGCACGGCCAGTAAGAAGGAGGTGGTTTAATGACAACTGCCGGTCATAAGCTGGCTGGACAGCTGGAAGGGGTGTGTCACGTGACAGCTGGAAGGGGTGTGTCACGTGACAGCTGGAAGGGGTGTGTCACGTGAGAGCTGGAAGGGGTGTGTCACGTGAGAGCTGGAAGGGGTGTGTCACGTGACAGCTGGAAGGGGTGTGTCACGTGAGAGCTGGAAGGGGTGTGTCACGTGACAGCTGGAAGGGGTGTGTCACGTGAGAGCTGGAAGGGGTGTGTCACGTGACAGCTGGAAGGGGTGTGTCACGTGACAGCTGGAAGGGGTGTGTCACGTGACAGCTGGAAGGGGTGTGTCACGTGACAGCTGGAAGGGGTGTGTCACGTGACAGCTGGAAGGGGTGTGTCACGTGACAGCTGGAAGGGGTGTGTCACGTGACAGCTGGATTGGACATGGCAGTACAAGCAAAATGGAGAACGCACAAGCGCATCACACAAGGAGGAGTCCGTTTGCCATGTGTAATCCCGTTTTGGCCCTCCACCGAATCGGTTCCTCCCTCTCAAGGAGGGCCAAAACGGGATCCCCTGCCTGTTTTCTCCATACCCCATGCCTTTCTCTCTCCCATCTGCCTCCTCCTCTTTCTACCTCTTTCACTACTCCCTCTGCCCGCACCTCTCCATCTGCCCGCACCTCTCCGCTTCTTCCCCGCTCTTCCCCCCCTCACTTCATCTCACAGCGTCTTGAGTTGAGCTCCATTTGGGCGTGGCTGCGCTCAGAGGTGGCTTCTGGGTCCCCTCTCTCCCCCCAAAACTCTTCTATTGCCCACTCTCCCCCTCCCTCCACACCCCCCCACCCCCCCTTTCCCCACCCCTCACTCCCAATCCACCCCGCGGCGCCTTGAGCCGAGCCGAGTTCCATCCGGGCGTCACACATCGCCTTTGAGACGCCTACCATACCACCTCTTTCCCTTCTGCTATCTCACAACACCCACCCTCACCCCACCCGCCCCCCCTCACCGTCCCTTCCACACCCTTCCCCCCAATCCATCCCCCAGCGCCTTGAGCTGAGCTCTATCTGAGCGCCCTTCATTGCTCCCTCAGAGTCGACTTTTGGTCGACTCACAAGTCCCTTACGTCTCAACCCCACCCTCCCTGCTCCCCCCAACCACCCCCCCAAAACCCATCTCCCAGCACCTTGACCTGAGATCCATGTGTTCGTCCCTCATTGCATTCGAGACCACCTACCTCCTTTCCCCCTTGTGATATCTCCCAACCCTGTGCCTTCCTCTCCAACCCCCTCCCCTCTTCACCAACTCACAGCGCCTCGAGCTGAGCTCAATCTTGCCGTCCCTCATCGCCTTCGAGACGCCTTCCTCTCCCTTTCTGCTAACTTTCACCTCCCACCCCCCCTCTCTCCCCACTCCCCTTCCCCCCCCCTCTCCCCCGTCCTTTCCAACCCCCCTCCCCCTTACCCATCCCCCAGCGCCTCGAGCTGAGCTCCATCTGGGCGTCGATCATCGCATTCGAGAAGCCTCTGCTGGCCAATGGCAGCACGACACGTGGGCACTTCGATGCCGCCTTCGTGGAGGGCGTTCCAGCTGTCTCGTGGATGTGCAACAACACCGCCAAGCTGGGGGATTTGGGGGGCGCGGGGAGAGGGGACGGCGGGGAGGGATCGGGTGCGGTGCGGAGGGGTGAGGGCATGGAGTGCTGGACGGTGTTCAGCAGTGCGGCGTATGGCAAGCGCAACAAAGTCCCCCAGGTGGGTGGGAGGGACAGTTTTGAGAGGATTAAGGTCTCATAAATAGTATAGTATGTAAGCCGTTCTTGCATTGGGAGCATCACATAGTAAAACTCTTGTGAAATACCTGGGTGCCGTGGCAGTTCATATCCATGACTTTCGAGTTGACTCTAAATTGACCGTTACTCTGTCACTCCATCTCCACCCTTCCCGTGATCACTCCATGCATGCCCACCCCTCGTTACTTTCACAACCAGGAGAACATCCCTTTGGTGAGGGCAGCGAGGGTGAAGGAAGCAGGAGATGCTGGAGAGCGTGTCGTGCTTTTGAGTCGACTCAAAAGGAGAGTGTGTCGTGGTTTTGAGTCGACTCAAAAGGAGAGCGTGTCGTGGTTTTGAGTCGACTCAAAAGGAGAGCGTGTCGTGATTTTGAGTCGACTCAAAAGGAGAGCGTGTCGTGCTTTTGAGTCGACTCAAAAGGAGAGCGTGTCGTGGCAGGGCAGGGCAGCAGCGCTCTCGCAAAACATGGACGCCTGGATTCCGTCACAACCCTTAGCAGCTGTCACTCCATTCACATATGTTTTTTGAGAATTCTCAAAAAACAGACGCCTGGATTCCATCACAACCCTTAGCAGCTGTCACTCCATTCACATTCCTCATAACTTCTCCTCGTTCCTTCCACACAACCAGGAGAGAACATCCCTCCTCTGGCCAGGGCTGCACGGGTGAAGGAGGAGATGCTGGAGGGCGTGGCAGCGGCACTAGGCCGAGCTCAGAACATCTGAATGCCGCTAGAATACACAATACCAAGATTCATAAAGTTACCCTAGCAACCATGCCCATGCCCATGTCCACCCTCGTTGATTGCCCTCCTTCCCCACCCCTCGCTACTGTCACAATCAGGAGAACATCCCTCTGGCGAGGGCAGCGCGGGTGAAGGAGGAGATGCTGGAGGGTGTGGCAGTGGCGCTAGGCGGCCCAATTGTTCATATCAAGCACACCTGGGTTCCGTTTATATCCAAACCCTCTTCCCAACCCCTCGCGCTCTTTCCCAACCCCTCGCTACTGTCACAATCAGGAGAACATCCCGCTAGCGAGGGCAGCGCGGGTGAAGGAGGAGATGCTGGAGGGTGTGGCAGCAGCACTCGGGCGACCCAAGGACTCCCTGCCTGCTGTTCTCTTCCACAAGATCCAACTCTGGTGGGTGTGCTGTGTGTGCTGCTCTCACCATATGATGTGCTATCCCTTACTGTGCTGTTCTCACGAGCTGAGGTGACTGTTGAGCCGACTCAAACGTCGCCGTGCTAGGCCGACCCAAGGACTCGCTGCCTGCTGTTCTCTTCCACAAGATTCAGCTCTGGTGGGTGTGATGTGTGCTGATCTCACGTGCTGGTGGGTGCTTTCATGTGCTCTCCTGTGATGCCCACACGTGCTGTGATGCCCACCCACACGTGCTGAGGTGACTGTTGAGCCGCCTCATTAGGGCGAATCAAGGACTCGTTGCCTCCCATGCTCTTCCACATGGTCCAGCTCTGGAGGGTGTGCTGTGCTCAGTGTTACCTGGGTGCTGGGGTGGGTGGTGTGGTGGGTGCTGTGTTGGGTGTCCCCAATATGTTTGCTCCCGATTCCCATCCCATCCCATCCCATCCCATCCCATCCCATCCCATCCCATCCCATCCCATCCCATCCCATCCCATCCCATCCCATCCCATCCCATCCCATCCCATCCCATCCCATCCCACCCCACCCCATCCCATCCCATCCCATCCCATCCCATCCCATCCCATCCCATCCCATCCCATCCCATCCCATCCCATCCCATCCCATCCCATCCCATCCCATCCCATCCCATCCCATCCCATCCCATCCCATCCCATCCCATCCCATCCCATCCCTTCCCATCCCACCCCACCCCATCCCATCCCATCCCATCCCATCCCATCCCATCCCATCCCATCCCATCCCATCCCATCCCATCCCATCCCATCCCATCCCATCCCATCCCATCCCATCCCATCCCATCCCATCCCATCCCATCCCTTCCCATCCCACCCCACCCCATCCCATCCCATCCCATCCCATCCCATCCCATCCCATCCCATCCCATCCCATCCCATCCCATCCCATCCCATCCCATCCCATCCCATCCCATCCCATCCCATCCCATCCCATCCCATCCCTTCCCATCCCACCCCACCCCATCCCATCCCATCCCATCCCATCCCATCCCATCCCATCCCATCCCATCCCATCCCATCCCATCCCATCCCATCCCATCCCATCCCATCCCATCCCATCCCATCCCATCCCTTCCCATCCCACCCCACCCCATCCCATCCCATCCCATCCCATCCCATCCCATCCCATCCCATCCCATCCCATCCCATCCCATCCCATCCCATCCCATCCCATCCCATCCCATCCCTTCCCACCCCACCCCATCCCATCCCATCCCATCCCATCCCATCCCATCCCATCCCATCCCATCCCATCGTATTCCACCTCTCCCCTCCTCACTTCAATCTCCGCCCTTCAAGGGAGTGGCAATCCCTCGAAACGCCCCGTGCACAGCAGCAGGGGGCAGATTGGAGAGCATAATGGATGCCCTGCGTGTGGGGCTGTGCTGACTGCCCCTTTGCCTTGCACTGCAACCCATTTCAACTCATCCCCACCCCATCCCATCCCGTCTGACCCCACTTCAATCTCTGCCCTCCAGGGGTGCGGCTCTCCCTCTGAACGCGCCAACAACAGCAGCAGGGAGCGGCGTGGAGTGCATAATGGATGCCTCCACGCAGGTGGGGCTGTGCTGACTGGCTGCTCGCCTTGTGTTGCACGCATGCTCTTTCGACCAATCCCCACCCCATCTCACCCCACTCCATCCCACCCCATACAGGGGGGCGGCGCTGCCGCTGAACGCGCCAACAACAGCAGCAGGCGGCGGAGTGGAGTGCATAATGGACGCCTCTACTCGTGTGGGGCTGTGTGGCGACTGGCTGCTCGTCTTGCGCTGCACGCATGCTCGTTCAACCAATCCCCACCCCATCTCACCCCACTCCATCCCACCCCATACAGGGGAGCGGCACTGCCTCTGAACGCCCCGACAACAGCAGCAGGCGGCGGTGTGGAGTGCATAATGGACGCCTCTACTCGCGTGGGGCTGTGTGGCGACTGGCTGCTCGCCCCCTCCGTGCAGGCTGCTGCCATCAGCGGGCTCGCCATGGCTGATAAGGTGCTGTTGGGGGGAGGGGGGGCGGTGCAGGGCTGTTCCTGCTGTGGCCTGTAAGGTGTTAGGGGTGGGGTTGGTCCTCTGCTTGCGCGTGGGGTTGGTCCTCTGCTTGCGCGTGGGGTTGGTCCTCTGCTTGCGCGTGGGGTTGGTCCTCTGCTTGCGCGTGGGGTTGGTCCTCTGCTTGCGGGGGGAGGGGGGGGAGGGAGGGGGGAGGGGAGGGGTCCTGGTCGTGCTGTGGCGTGTAAGGTGCTGTGCTACTAGGGGGGGCTTGTCCTCTCTGCTCGCTGGTGCGGCTGTGTGGCGACGGATACTCGCCCCTCCATGCAGGCTGCTGCTGACATTGGGCTCGCCCTGGCCGATTAGGTGAGGGGGGGGGGGGGAGACAGGGGAAGGGCTGGTCCTGCTGAGGCTGATGAGGTGCTGTGGAAGGGGATGGGGGCTGGTCCTGTGGAAGGGGCAGTTCTGTGGAAGGGGCAGTTCTGTGGTCGGATAGTCCCATGGTGAGAAGAGCAAGTGTGAGCAAGTGTGAGAAGAGCAAGTGTGAGCAAGTGTGAGAAGAGCAAGTGTGAGCAAGTGTGAGAAGAGCAAGTGTGAGAAGAGCAAGTGTGAGCAAGTGTGAGAAGAGCAAGTGTGAGCAAGTGTGAACAAGTGTGAGAAGAGCAAGTGTGAGCAAGTGTGAGAAGAGCAATGTCGGAGAACCACCTCATCCTTGCAACCTGCTCTTCCTCTTGTCACTCCCTTGCCTTCCTTCTCCTTACGTGGTTGAAAGAGTTTCCTCCCTCACCCCGTAGGTCCTCCCATAGTGGAGTGCCACCGGATGCTAGATCTGAGGTAACAGCTTTCCACTAATATGAGAGAATAACAGGAGAAAAGCAACAAGAGGGTGTTTGGTACTGAATTTACCTGAACCTGGCTCAGTCGCACACTTCTCGATGTGCGCCTCGAGCCAGGCCCAGTTGCTTCAGATTGGCTCGTTAGATTCCCACCCCTCGATGTTTCCTCTAACCCTTCCCAACAACTTCGCCTCAACCCCCCATACTCCCCAGCAACTCACCCACAAATTGTAATCATACAAAGACTACACCTGAACCTACACTTGCATCAACACCCGCGCACCAACTGTTATCGCATATGCACGAAGTGCATATTCGGTGACAGCAAGTGTGAGAAGAGCAAGTGTGAGCAAGTGTGAGAAGAGCAAGTGTGAGCAAGTGTGAGAAGAGCAAGGGTGAGCAAGTGTGAGAAGAGCAAGGTTAGCAAGTGTGCGAAGAGCAAGTGTGAGAAGAGCAAGTGTGAGAAGAGCAAGTGTGAGCAAGTGTGAGAAGAGCAAGTGTGAGCAAGTGTGAGAAGAGCAAGTGTGAGCAAGTGTGAGAAGAGCAAGTGTGAGCAAGTGTGAGAAGAGCAAGTGTGAGCAAGTGTGCGAAGAGCAAGTGTGAGCAAGTGTGAGAAGAGCAAGTGTGAGCAAGTGTGAGAAGAGCAAGTGTGAGCAAGTGTGAGAAGAGCAAGTGTGAGCAAGTGTGAGAAGCGCAAGTGTGAGAAGGGCAAGTGTGATATGAAGTGAAAAGAGCAAGGGTGAGAAGAGCAATGTTGATTCATATCACACTTGCTCTTCTCACCCTTGACCTCACGTGCTTCCCCTAGTTGTTGCCACCCACTCATCACATCCCCTAGTTGTTGCCACCCACTCATCACATCCCCTAGTTGTTGCCACCCACTCATCACATCCCCTAACCCATGCATCCCCTCTTCCCACTCATTGCCATCACTCCCACAGCTCTCTTGGCTTGGCGCCCTTGGCTTTGCCCCCATGGCAGATCGCAGCTTTTCACGAGGATGCAGTGGCCGGCGACCATTCTTGAGACGTCTCAAAGCGAACCTCTTCATGCCTTCTTCCCTCTTGCTGCCACCGCTCCCATGGCAGATCGCATCGTTCCACGAGGATGAAGCGGCCAGCGATCCATCGCTCTTCTCGGTGGGCCTTGATGCGTCCTTTGCAGCGGTGCCCGACACGCATGACATCGGCGCTTTCCCCGATGCCACGCCTGCTGCTGCTGACTCGAATGGCAGCACACAAGGTGTTGCGGCACATGGGGTTCGAGTGGCTGCATGAGGGGAGGTGTGTTGAGATTTCTGCCAAACGACCTACTTTTTTTAGAATCATGGCTTGTGGGTTGCACATGGCAGTACACCTAGGGGTTGCTTTGCTTGCCCCGGGACCAGGACCCAGCACATCAGAACAGCAACACCAGTCTATCATACTTCATTGAAGTGGTGTACATGTGGATTAAAACTTAAGATTTCCTGAAACAACCGAACTGCTTAAAAATGTTGGAAACAAGTAACTTAAGCGCCTCTGTCGTGTCGAAGCACTAAGTTATAAGCGAAGCAAAACACAGCGAAGCATCGGCGAGTCAACCCTCAGAGGTTGAACTGCTGGAGGTTACGCGACAGTCAAAGGTCAGCAACCTTTGACCTGACAAGTACAGCGCGACAGCAAGGACAAACAACTGACTCGTTATTGAGCAGTTGCCCGAGTCGTCACTATATCGAACCGCAACAGCAACAGCAAAACAGTTATTAGTTATAACCCTTCATATTCCCTTGTGCTCTTATAAAAGCTTGTATCTCTTTGTCTTAATCAATCGACTTTGCCCTCACATACCAGCGCAAGGTGGTTCACAAACCTTTCATTAAACGCTTCCGCTATTACATTGTCCTACTCAGAGTTTAGTCCTGCAAAGATCCTAAGGGCTTTCTCAGCCCAACATGGTATGAGAGCTATCAAGACAAATTCAACTACAATCAAGACACCTACAACATCACAAGGCATGGAAACGCAGAAGGAGAGAAGCTCCTCTAACGGCTCTCCCGGTACTACTCCTACTCCACCTCCTGCCTTTGGCCTACAGACAGAGGAGGGCACAGCAACAAGACCGGCAGCTGGGTCTACCGAAACTCCCGCAAATCAAGCCGCGGGCTTCGACCCAGACATGATGGAGAAATTCTTCTCCTTCATGTCCTTCTACGAACAACACCAGCAAGGGGCACCTGCGCAATCAAACAACAGCAACAACAACATCGCAACACCGATGAGCCTCGACGGTTCATCCTACGCACGAGGAAATCAGCAACAACAACCTACCTTCGCCCCGTACGAACCTCAGCGCGGTTCCGTCAGCTTCATGCCGCGCCAGCAGCCTTCACCTGAGCAAGAGAAGACATTAGATGCACTTCAAGTTCAGTCGCAGTTTGCGCACGTCTTAAAACTGCAAACGTCAAGACCGTTCGACGGAAAGGACTTCTTTACCTGGTCATTTGAATTCGAGCTGATGATAGAAGGCGCGCAGATTCTTGGCTTCTTCGACGGGTCCCTGCCATATCCAACGCACGGGGCGCAATACGACAAGCAGCAGTACACATATCAATCCATGATGGCGTATACAATCCTAGTGCGCAACGTCACACCGAACCAGCAGCAGAATATCCGGTCTTACCGAGGATACGGGAACTCCGCCGAGCTCGCGTACAATCACCTGAAGAACCTGTATCAGGCAACAGACAGCGTCAATCAGAGTCGGTTAATGGCACAACTGACAACAGTGGAAATAAAACCGGGCGAAATAGGAATGGCGTATATCAGCCGATGTCGCGAATTGCGCGGCAAACTCCTTCGATGCGGAGGGTCGATATCAGAAGACGCCTTCGTCACAGTCGTCATTGGCGGTCTTGGTCCTCATTGGCGCTCCACCCGCGCCATACTCCGAGCTCACGGGAAGATCTCCGAAGCAGCACTATGCACCAAAATTCACGCTGAACAGTAAGACATGGACCTGCAAGAGGAGCGGCACAAGAGGAAAACGTCAGTACCTGAATTCGCGTTCCACACTCAACGGCGCTACAACAACAACAACAACCGACATCAACCCAAACCTGTACCTCCATTTTGTCATCTCTGCAAGACTTCAGGGCACCCTCGCACACACTTCCCGAATCGACAGCAGTCAACACCACCGCAACGCCAGCTTCGTCCTTCAAGTAGTCAAGTGGCGTCCACACAAGCGCACCCCACGAGTCAACTACAGTCCTCAACGACATCGCCAACGCAATCTGCACAAGGAACAAGAAACATTGTCAGTTGCATGGCAAGACTGACTGACTCGTGCATCACCGAGTCACCACCACACTTCTCACGGGAAGAACAACTCGACAACAGCACCCCTCGCCGCCGGTCACTTCAACCAAACCCGACGTATGCAGCCATCGCTCAAAGCGAGCCGTCCGGGAAAGATACATGTTTCTTGGACAGTTGCTGCGGACAGCGCATGTGCTCTTCAGGACGCTTCGTTCAACGCGAACACCAACTTCAATGCGAAGTCGTCATCACCGTCGCCAACAACCAGAACCTGCGCACACAACGACAAGGCGTGGTGCAACTTCAGTCACGAGAGACAAACGTCATATTGCAGATGTCAAAAGTGTTAATTGCGGAGGGACTCGGCTACAACTTACTGAGTGTCAGTCAGCTAATGGCGAAAGGCATCCACCTCGAAGCAGACAGCATAAAACAGGAGTTCAAGCTGTATCACGGGAGAGGAGGCCTCTATATCAGCAAGGCCGTACTGAAGAACATGTTTGTTCTCGACTTCGTTCCAGATCTAGGCACCGCCGACAGCAACGGAATTGTCACCTTCACCTCCTGGACACACCCACCGGATCTTGATCCTGACTTCAGCCCCGAAGGATTTTGGTACTCGCACACCATTCCTGAGGCAGAACGAACAAGAGCATTAGCAACAATTCAATCAGCAGCAGCAGAGACAACATCGGCAGCAATAGAGACAACATCGGCAGCAGCAGAGACAGCATCAGTACCAATCGCGGGTCCTTCAACTGCACCAGTTCCAATCGACGACGACACTCCACCGAATCCTGCGCAGCAACGGAACCCAACACCACGAGAAGTACATCGAAGCGCAAACTTCACCGCAAGCTTCTACTCCAACTCCGAGATGTACCGTCACTCACCCAGACATCGAGCTGGCGAAGACATCTGGCACGCACGAATGGGACATCCAAGCAACACAGTGTTAAATAACACAATCAGAGCAGGAGTGCTCGACAAATACTCACTGCTCCTAATCGACAGAAGCGAACTTCGACGAGCTCGCGGAACGTGCTTTACCTGCCCTGAGGCTGACTTACCACATCGGCCGTTCGCTTCTCACCACAACCCCAGCGCACCAGCTTACGCACCACTCAAGAAAGTATACAGCGACATCCTGTACAACTACGAACCTGGACAAGGAGCATACAGCTACACCATCACGTTCATCGATGCCGCCACACGTTACGTTTGGCACCTCAACCTTCCGAGCAAGGACATGGCTTTCGAGGCTTTCGTCGCTTGGCTCCCAGTAGCAGAACGAGAATCAGACGTGAAGCTGAAAGGCTTCCACACAGACAGAGGAGGAGAGTACACCTCACAAAGATTCAAGCAGTACTTGGCAGAAAGAGGGATCAAGAGGCTCATCTCCCTTCCCTACGCTCACCAGCAGCAAGGCGTAGCAGAAAGGATGAACATGACTCTCCAGAACACCATGCGCAAGCTGCTACATGGCATGCGGCTACCCAACCACCAATGGCCCGAAGCAATGGACCACGCTGTCATGCTGCACAACTTGCTCTCGTCATCATCGCTCCCGAACAACGTATCACCGCACCTGCTGTGGACATGAAAACAGGGCAGCACAAAAATGTTAAGAGTTTTCGGATGCGTGGTACAGTACCGATCCCCAGCTGCACGAGCCGACCGATTCTCCCAACGCGCACAGTGGGGACTACACCTGGGCATCGAAAGAAATTACAACGCGTGGAAGATTTTTTACGTCCACTCAAAGGAAACAGTAGCAGCACGTGATGTCATTTTCTACGAGCGACTCACCCTTCCGACATACCTTGCCAACCTGGAAGAGGACCGGGACCCCACAGGCGGTTTTCGTGGTGACCGAGCCTTCGCCTCGGCAGTAGACGAAGCTGACTGGGACGGGCAGAACGTGGATGAAGCCTCGGAGGAAGCCGGACCTCTCCCTTACTGCTCCGTCGACGTCCCAATGGATGACGAAAATCCTCGCGAAAGCGCCAACGCCGAAGTATTTTACCACTTCGCCGACAACGGTTACGTTACACCTGCAAGAGTCAACACCAACGAAGCCGAACGCATAGGGCCCAACTTCATACCTGACCTAGAGGCAGGTGACGAAGCAGCTTATCCTGAGGACACAACACTCCCTCGCTACACACATAGTGGTCTCCAGATACTCGGCCTCGTCACCGCGGTCCACGGCACGGAGATTCCTAAGGAGCCTGCCACAGTTCAGCAGGCTCTAGGGGGGGAGCATAGGGAAAAATGGCGCGAAGCCATGGACAAGGAGCTGAAAGCACTAGAAGAACGGAACACCTGGAAAGTCGTCCCCATCGGTGTGGCACGCAACAAAACGGTACTCACCGAAAAATGGGTCTTCCTGTCAGAACTTATATTTGTAACTGCCTGTAGCTGTAGTTAGTGTAGTTATTATAAACTTTGTTTGGTGGTGCACCTTATTTGTTTCCTTTGCTATATGTTCTTCGAAACCTATACTGAAACCATCCTTTCCAACTTTCTCGACTCTCACCCTAGGCACAAACTACTCGACATCCTAGTTGGGCCTAGGCTCCTAAGCCTAGGCCCTAGTTAAACTTGATCCTTCTCGTTTCAGTTTCGATACTTCCGTGTGAAGACAAAGGCAGACGGTACCATTGGCAAGTTTAAGGCGCGCTGGGTCGTGCGCGGTTTCGACCAAGAGCACGGATGTGATTTCACTAAGACGTTCGCCCCGGTCAGTCGACACACTTCACTTCGAATTCTTCTCGCGATCGCCGCCATGAAGAAGAAGAAACTGCGGCAAATTGACGTCGCCAACGCATTTCTCTACGCGCCTGCTGACGCCGAAATCTTCGTCGAACTTCCACACGGCTCCAAC